ATATACTTTTCAAATCTTCTTAAACCTTGTGCCAAAACTTCAATGGTTAAATTCATTTAAGAAAAAGAATCATAACTATATATATACAAATATAAATATTTTATTGTATATTCAATAACTGATTGACAAAAAAATTGATTGATTGTCTTTAAAGAATGATAGATAATAATCTTAATAATATAATTATTGATGTTTTTATAACAAATTTCAATATATTATATCTCAGAACCAGAAAAAAAACAAAAAGTAAATATAGCATCTCATGTCGTAGAATATAATATAAAATATATAAAATTATTTTTAACTCTTTTTTACGAGCACGTGAATTTTTTCAAAATATCTGTAGAGCACTAAAAAATCCACTAAGTATATTCCAACTACGTAAACATAGGACAACAAATTCATCTATTTGTTTGATTGAAACTTTGCATAATGTATTTGGAGAGTTCAATCACTTTAAAATTGCAAGTGGAGAAACCACTAAAATAACAATTGAATAAAAAGTAATATATATAATTGATTTTTAACAAAATATACATATTCAAAAAATGTACCAGTCAAAGTTAATGAAATCAAATAAACTTAATTTACTTTGTTTTTTATTATATTAAATTTTTTTTTATTCAGCTATATATTCCTCGGCATTTTAAAATGCAAAAACACATACTAATTAAAATAAAAAAACATACTTTCAATTTTATGATAGTGTAGGATAGTGACAATCAAAACTTGCAAGATACAAAAATGGACAATAAAAGATAATAAAAGAAAAGTATTGATATGGTAAACGATATATAATTAAATACTATAATCACAATATTTATTCCATGCTCTATACTATATAATATGCAAGTGTATACTAAGCAATGTAGAATCAATCACGTTAATATAAAGATCATTTTTTAAAAGGTTAATAAATATTTATGATTACTTCCTGTCTTCCAATTGCAGCCAAAAATCAGGTGGTGATGTACTTAACCCACTTAAAGACTCAGATAAATCGGGTAACTTGTCACCAGGTGCCAAAACAAAATTGAAATTTTGACATAATGTAGTTGTCATAAGGAAAAGCATATTTCTAGCAAATGTTTCTCCAGCACATAAACGTTTTCCTACAACAATACAAAATATTGTTTATTTCAACTATAATATAATATATAAGTTAATTAAATTTAACCTGCACCAAACGGAAAAGATACATCCTTCTTTAAACATAATTTTCCTTCGTCGTCAAGAAAACGTTCTGGTCTGAAATTTTCTGGATCACCCCAAATACGTTCGTCCATGTGATATGCATACAAACTGGGAATTACAATTGTATTCTACAAAATCCAAAATAACAGATTATTTATTGTCATAAAAATTAAATAAATATATATACTAACTTTTGGCACCTTATAACCCATTAATTCAGTATCTTCTAAAGCTTTGTGTGCTACATCTGATGGCACCAATGTTTCTATACGTAAACCTTCACGTATGGTTGCTTCTGTGTAATGCATTTCTTTACGATCTTCCAAAGTAGGTAAACGTCCACTACCTATAACTTCATCAATTTCTTTTTGAACACGTTTCGTTACCTCTGGGTAGAGCATTAAATATTGTATTAAAAAGGTAGCTTGTGCACCAACTGCACTTAACGCAGGGAATGAGAAATCAACTAAACTCATAATGAATTGGTTGCGTGAGAAAGTGGAGTCTGTTTTGCCCTCAGCTTCTGCCTGCTTCATTCCTTTGATATATAAATCTAAAAAGTTTCTCTCAAACCCTTCCTGATATGTTTCAATATGACGATCAACCAAAGTAGAGAAATATTTGTATAGAAAATTATTTGCTTCCATGAGTTTATTATAAGAACTCCAATTCGGGAAAATGTTTCTTATCCAGGGCATTATACTTAACAGTTTACCGTAATCATCACCTTCTCTTTGAAACTGCATTGCCATTTGAGTTAATTTCAATAAAACTCCCTTAAATCATTAGAATGTATTATTATATATTAAAGAACGCGAAAATACTTTCAAAAGGTTTTTTATTTTATTAAAATTTAAAGTTTTCATATTAGTATAAAATAGTTTATATACTAGAAAACTACAATTCTATTTTTTACTATTTTTTAGAAAATTCACAATTCTACTTACCATTTCCGCACGTGAATGTCTTTCATTATATATAATATGAAATAGACTATTTCCAGAAAAAGGATGTAGTAATGATGGTAGTAATACTCTATATCCACCTGGTTTTACAATTTCTTTTTCATGTTCATAAAGTGGGCCATTACGTATTAGATCTAGCATATCGGTTAACTCTTCCTGTATAACCAATTCTAGTTGTTCGAAACGTCTTCCGAAACCAAAATCTCTTAAATAACGCAAAATGAAACGACGTTGTTCCTTCCAAAGAATTCCTTCTTGGAAAAATATACCTTAAAATTTTAATGTGAGAATGTTTTAAAAATTAATATTGAATTCAATTTACAATTTTTTTTATATAAGATGCAAAAGTTTTTATTATATTATAAATAACTACAGCATATTACAATATTAATAACTTGTATATATTAAGAAATAAATCCTAATTATGTGTAGTCCATATGAATCGCATGTATTGTATGGTAAATGCAATATTTATTAATATCATTCAAAAATTTAAATTTTTGTTTATTTGTATTCAATAATTTGTTACATATATTTTATTTATTTCTTAAGGAAGTTATTAATTATTGTAGTAATACTTATAGATAAATATATGTCACAACGACATTACAACTAAACCTAATTTACACATTTTTTGATTTATTAATTTTAAGAACATTGATTTCAACGTTTAAAAACCGTGTATAAATTTTTTTTTTAATAGAACAAAATAAATATGTATATATATAAATATACATATTACACACAAGTTTATTTCCGTATTCTCAAAAACGGCAGATACAGATACAAAATAATAAAACGGGAAATAAATAAAAACAAAAAAATTTACTTTATTCTCATAAACCCGATATATAAGCAATAGGTTATCACAGATTTATGGATATTTACCAAAAATTTTGCGATTAGGTTCTCTCATTTGTGTTACGAAAATTTGTGCCCGTCCATCGAAAATCTGATTTTGTAAAACTTGTCTTATGCCTTCTGCATTATGTACTGCAACAACTGGTAATGAACCAACGTGAAATCCAATTATATCTGATTTATACCACTTTGAAAACTTTAATACTCCTTTATGTAAATACTTAAAATTAGACATCATCATAAATAAGTAACTACCGAAGAATGGTAAACGTGGAGGTCCTAGAAAAACAAATGGAATATTGGTAATAATAGCTTTAATATTTACGCTCTACATATGATTTTGATACAAATATTATTATTAAGCTACAATACTAATGTATCCTAAAGTATATTATCTACATATTTTATTAATATTTAAAACAAATTATTTTGTATAATAACAGAAATGTTTCTTACCTGGCGGAAATCCTGCTGGACGACCGACAGCATATCGAAAGGATAAATATAGGAAGAATAAAGCGCTTAAAAACCATAAAATTTCGCTCATTACTTTAACTCTACTCTGTACCGATTCTTATATTAATATATTTTAATTTTTTTAAATTAAAGATCTTTTCACTTGATATTATAAACGCATACTGAATACGCACTTCAAAAATAAATCGAATCAAACCTTATCGGAATGCAATGCTTTTATCAAATTGTAATTAAAATTAATATACATAAATAAGAATTAAGTAAATAAAGCTGAAGTCATCAGCAATCTAAAAGCACTTATGAGTTACACTCAATAGCATTTATGGATAGCATTATTGTAGTTCATATTCGTGTTTTTTCTTTCATTAACTATCAATGGACCGTAGACCCTCTTTATGTAAATACAATTAAAGTTAAGTACACAAATATTTTAATCGAAAAGAGTAGCTAAAAATCAATTGCTACAATAAATTATAGCAATAGTGCAGACCTCAAAATTATTATTTTAAAAAAGAATAGACTAATTAATACATCTTCAATTAATATATAGAACATGAATTTTATATTTAAGTAACCTGAACGTTTTGTGAAATTGATTGTCAAACCAATGCATATATTCGAAACATATTGTTATGGACATGGATCTAAGGAAATATAAAATAGAATAAATTTTTGCATGATTTTCTGGGCATTTCTTATTTTTCAGATCAATCTACAACAACAACAATAAAAACACACTTAAATATATTTAATAAGTGATATGTAGAAGATGAATATAGAAAATATAATATATTGATGCAGTGGCTTACAATTGAAAATTGTGGGAGAATCAATTACATAAACTTCAAAAAATACAATTTTAGATTAAAATGATATATATAGTCCATTTGACACAGCTATTTTCAAAGGATATAATATTATATAAAATCAATGGAATTCTTTTTAGCGTTGACAGTCTTTAAAATTCCCCTATGGTACTTTTTACAAACCAGCCTAATGCTATTGAAATCGATAACAGTTGATTTGTACCATACTTAAACAATTGTCTAGAACCTTTTACTATTAATATTGCAGTTCTATAAAGTACATTAAAAGCTATAGGTGCTAATGAAAACGATAAAGTTGCATGATACCGAATGATGTATAAAAAGCAATAAAACTAGATAGCATATATGTTCTCTTTTTAAATCAAGGAAGATATCTTTATTTGACAGACTTGATTTATTTGACAGAATATCTTGGAAAATGATGACGTGCATGCTTTACTGGGAACAAGAATGTCCCCTTCCTAAGATATCATTGGTTCTTTATATTGTATGAGGCGAACTAAAACGATTCGATTTCGATTTTAAACATTGATTTAAATCTAATTTACATATAAGAATGCTAAATGTAAATGACTTATTCACTCAACGATTTCAGACTTTATTGTTTGAAATTGGCAAAGGAATTATAATTATCTAATCGTACAAGTTAAAGACAAATTATTATATGGAGCTGCATTTATTAAACTTCGCACATTTACTAATTAACTATATTGTTATGAATTTCTAAATATTAAATTAAACATAGACTTATTTTCTGTCTTCCAATTGCACCCAAAAATCTGGTGGTGATGAAATTAACCCACTTAAAGTTTCAGATAAATCGGGTAACTTATCACCAGGTGCCAAAACAAAATTAAAATGTTGACATAACGTAGTTGTCATAAGGAAAAGCATATTTCTAGCAAATGTTTCTCCAGCACATGAACGTTTTCCTATAAAAATTAAAAATATTCTATAAATCAATTATATTATATAAGTCAACTGAATTTTACCTGCACTGAACGGCAAAGACATATCCTTCTTTAAACATAACTTTCCTTCGTCGTCTAGAAAACGTTCTGGTCTGAAATTTTCTGGATCACCCCAAATACGTTCGTCCATATGATATGCATACAAACCGGGAATTATGACTGTATTCTATGAAATTTAAAATAACAAATCATTTAATGTCATAAAAGTTAAATTAATATATCTACTAACTTTTGGCACCTTATAACCCATTAACTCAGTATCCTCTAAAGCTTTGTGTGCTACATCTGATGGTAGCAATGTTGCAATACGTAAACCTTCACGTATGGTTGCTTCTGTGTAATGCATTTTTTTACGATCTTCCAAAGTAGGTAAACGTCCACTACCTACAACTTCATCAATTTCTTTTTGAATGCGTTTCATCACCTCTGGGTAGAGCAATAAATACTGTATTAAAAACGTGATCTGTACACCGGTTGTACTTAAAGCAGGGATTGAGAAATCAATTAAACTCATTATGAATTGTTTACGTGAGAAAGTGGAGTCTGTTTTGCCCTCAGCTTCTGCTTGCTTCATTTCTTTAATATATAAATCTAAGAAATTTCTTTCATAGTCATCTTGATATGTTTCAATATGACGATCAATGAAATTGGAGAAATATTTGTAAAGAAATATATTTGCTTCCATGAGTTTATTATAAGAACTCCAATTCGGAAAAATATTTGTTATCCAAGGTATTATACTTAATAGTTTGCCATAACTATCACCCTCTCTTTGAAACTGCATTGCCATTTGAGTTAATTTCAATAAAACTCCCTTAAATCATTAAAATATATTATTACATATTAGAGAAAATGGAAATATTTCCAAATATTATTATATTTTATCAAAACTTAAATTTTTTTGATTTATTTTTTTAATAAAATATAAGTTCAAATATATATGGAATTTATTTACTAACCTGTTCTGATCGTGGATGTCTCTCATTATATATAATATGAAATAGACTATTTCCAGAAAAAGGATGTAATAATGATGGCAGTAATACTCTATATCCACCTGGTTTTACAATTTCTTTTTCATGTTCATAAAGTGGACCATTTCGTATTAGATCTAGCATATCAGTTAACTCTTCCTGTATAACCAATTCCAGTTGTTCGAAGCGTCTTCCGAATCCAAAATCTCTTAAGTAACGCACAATAAAACGACGTTGCTCCTTCCAAAAAAGTCCTTCTTGGAAAAATATACCTTAAAGAGTACATGAACATGAAAATATTTTGAAAATTATTAAAATCATTTTATTTAATTTAAAATTTTTCCTTTTTCTATATATGTATAGTGCCTTCATATATTAATTGAGTGTATATATTGACAGTAAAGTCTGAATTATATAACTGTTCACTACAGTCTGTAGTCTACAGTTTATATAGTCTGTTTTCATAGACCACATTAGTTCTTCCTTACTAAATACTTGTATATAAATGTGATCAAATTTTTATTTTATGATGATTTAAAAAATCAACTTAATTTGTTTTAATTGAATTAAATTCACAATTCTTCATATATGAAATAAAAAACATTTTTAAAAAATTAACTAGGTTATGGTGCACATGAAATTCAACTCCTGAAAAGACTTCACAAAATTTTTATTCTTCTACTAAATTCAATATAAAGGAAATGTACTATCATTAGTTATTAAATACGTACCCAAAATATTTCCATCAGGTTCTCTCATTTCTGCTAGAAACGTTTGTCGAATGTGAGTTCGTCCATCGAAACTCTGATTATTTAAAACTTGTCTTATGCCTTCTGCATTATGTACTGCAACTACTGGTAATGAACCAACGTGAAATCCAATTATATCTGATTTATACCACTTTGAAAACTTTAATACTCCTTTATGTAAATATTTAAAGTTAGACATCATCATAAATAAATAACTTCCAAAGAGTGGAATGCGTGGAGGACCTAGAAAAACAATTGTATATATGAGATATTGGTAATATTAGCTTCAATATTAGCGCACTGTATATATGATTTTAAAACAAATATTAGTATTAAAATACATTACTAATGTTTCTTATCTAAATTTATTATTATTTATTATTATCAACACTAAGTTTTGTGAATATGATAGAATATTATCAGAAATATTTCTTACCTGGCGGAAATCCTGCTGGACGACCGACAGCATATCGATAGGATAAATATAGGAAGAATAAAGCGCTTAAAAACCATAAAATTTCGCTCATTATTTTAACTCTACTCTGTACCGATTCTTATATTAATATATTTTAATTTTTTTAAATTTAAGATCTTTTCACTTGATATTATAAATGCATACTGAATACGCACTTCAAAAATAAATCGAATCAGGCCTTGTCAGAATGCAGTTCTTTTATCAACTTGTAATTAAAATTAATATAAATAAGAATTAAGTTATACAGCTGAAGTAGTCGACAATTTAAAAACACTTAACGGTTTGTTTTTAGCCTTAACAACCGTATTTTAACAAACAAACTATAAGCATTAGATCATTAATTGACGTCATACAATATCAATGTAAAAAAAATCAAATGTTACCTTATTTCAAATCTGTCGTATAAATCGATCCTCACCTTAATTATTATGTATAGTTTCAGGTTCTCAAACAAAAAAACTATAGGCTAAAGAAATTTCATAAGAAAATTCTTACAAAATATGATATGTAATAATAGAGCAAATTCATAAGATGTCATATTAATTGAAGTATTCTTTTCATTAACTTTTTCATTAACTCTCAATAGACTATTGGACTTTCGCAAGTAAACACAATTGAAAATTAAATGAATAAAAAAAACATATTTATTAATCAAACAGCATAGAATACAATTATTGAAATAAAAAATTAATAAACTATTGCATATAATATATATCACATTCTTTTATTTTAAATATACTTTTTTTCCATAAACGATTTCTAAATAAAAAAATTTTTAATATAAACTATTGTTTTCAATGGAGAGGTATCCCGATCAGTATTAAATAACAACAATAAAATTTTATTATTTAATTAATTGAATTTTTGGCGAACCATACAGCTGTTTCGAGTATTCATCATCAGTGGTCTTGGAAAGAATTCTTGTATTTAATTAATCGTAAATAATTTTTTGAATATGCAAGTACCAAGGCCCTGCCCAGTGTTATTCTACAGCTGATTTATGCTTTCGTTCTAATATAACACACCAAGTAATGAACTTTCACACCAAATTAATAAAAGCCCACATTTGAACATATGGTACAAGTCAAGTTGGCTAATGAATATTGACACTGAGGTTCAAATTTAGCAGGGCTCGAGTTCAACCCTTGCTACTTGTAGTCTCAAAAAATTATTTACGAATAATTAAATACAAGAAATAATTCCAAGATCACTGATGAAGGATAAATGAATTATGATTAGTTTTATAAAATTAATATAATTAAAATTAAAATAATTGCATTCATACAATTCTTCTCATATTTATATTTACAATATTGTTATAAATTTATTAATATTAAATTAAACATAGACTTATTTTCTGTCTTCCAATTGTACCCAAAAATCAGGTGGGGATGTAATTAAACCATTCAAGTTTTTAGATAAATCGGGTAGCTTATCACCAGGTGCCAAAACAAAATTGAAATTTTGACATAATGTTGTTGTCATAAGGAAAAGATTGTTTCTAGAAAATGTTTCTGCAGGACATAAACGTTTTCCTATAAAAATACAAAATATTGTGTATTTTAACTACAATATATAAGTCAACTGAATTTTACCTGCACTGAACGGCAAAGATATGTCCTTCTTTAAACATAATTTTCCTTCGTCGTCAAGAAAACGTTCTGGTCTGAAATTTTCTGGATCACCCCAAATACGTTCGTCCATGTGATATGCATACAAACCGGGAATTATGACTGTATTCTACAAAATTTAAAATTACATATTTATTGTCATAAAAGTTAAACAAACATATATATGTACTGACTTTTGGCACCTTATAACCCATTAACTCAGTATCCTCTAAAGCTTTGTGTGCTACATCTGATGGTGCTAAGGTTTCAATACGTAAACCTTCACGTATGGTTGCTTCTGTGTAATGCATTTCTTTACGATCTTCCAAAGTAGGTAAACGTCCACTACCTACAACTTCATCAATTTCTTTTTGAATGCGTTTCATTATCTCTGGGTAGAGCAATAAATACTGTATTAAAAACGTGATCTGTACACCGGTTGTACTTAAAGCAGGGATTGAGAAATCAATTAAACTCATTATGAATTGTTTACGTGAGAAAGTGGAGTCTGTTTTGCCCTCAGCTTCCGATTGTTTTATTTCTTTAATATATAAATCCAAGAAATTTCTCTCAAACCCTTCCTGGTATGTTTCAATATGACGATCAACCAAAGTAGAGAAATATTTGTAAAGAAAATTATTTGCTTCCATGAGTTTATTATAAGAACTCCAATTCGGGAAAATGTTCCTTATCCAGGGCATTATACTTAAAAGTTTGCCATAACTATCACCTGTTCTTTGGAACTGCATTACCATTTGAGTTAATTTCAATAAAACTCCCTTAAATCATTAAAATATATTATAACATAAATTTACTTAAATTTGTTTAATTTTAATATATAGAAGTTCAAATATATATGGAATAACAGAAAATACTAATATTCATAAAATAACTTATGAATTTATTAACTAACCTGTTCTGATCGTGGATGTCTCTCATTATATATAATATGAAATAAAATATTTCCAGAGAAAGGATGTAATAATGATGGTAGTAATACTCTATATCCACCTGGTTTTACAATTTCTTTTTCATGTTCATAAAGTGGACCATTTCGTATTAGATCTAGCATATCGGTTAACTCTTCCTGTATAACCAATTCTAGTTGTTCGAAACGTCTTCCGAAACCAAAATCTCTTAAGTAACGCAAAATGAAACGACGTTGTTCCTTCCAAAGAACTCCTTCTTGGAAAAATATACCTTAAAATTTGAATACGAAAATTTTTTGAAAATTATGAAAGTCTTTTTATTTAATTTAAAATTTTATCTTATGAAATGTATTCACAAGCTCATATCAGATATATATATATATGTATATATAGGTATATAGAACGTTCATATATTTATTGAATGTAATATTCTTAGTTTTGTAATAATAGCAATTATCAGTTTAATATTTTACGCAATAGGATTCCTTCAAGAACTCGTCTTTTTGAAAGTATGATAATGCCATTTCAATCAGAAATTGGACTTTAAAACTCTTATTATTAATTAATTAACAATTTATTTATTTATATTATTATTAATTAAAATCAATAATATTATTATTAATAAATATTAATAACATTATTATTAATAAATATTAATAACATGATTATTAATAATAAAATCATTAATCTTAGACCAAAAACTAAGATACGAGTATTTAGATGTATTAATCAGTGTTTCTCTTTTTATGATATCAACAAGGGAAGTTTAGGTGACGTTGTATCTGAAGTGTTTCATGTGCACTTCATTATTTAAAAACAAGTTAACAAATTGACATGAATTAATTAAAATAGTTTTAAGAAATTTTGTGTATAAAAATACTTATTTAACTTTGATACGTAATGAACATTTCTTTCTAATTGTGTTGGTATATCTTATGGTGTATTTATTTAGTATTTTTCGATCATTTTTATTCATTTTTCCAAATTTTTTTTTTTTCTTTAATAAAAATATCTTTTATCTTATTATTATTTTATCTTCCTTCTATCATGAACCATTTTCATACAGTTTTTTTTTTTTTGGATAACCATTTTTGAAATTCTTTATTCTGTATCTAAAAGATCATACATATACTTTCGTAGTTATTAAAAATGCAGCATTTTTGCTCTATAGAAGTTAGTAATTAAAGGAAGAAAACATCTAGGTTTATAGATATATTGTTGTATTTGAATCTGATGCCATCGTTTCCTTTTTCTATATCTTTGGACATGTGTGACTACACAACATGAGGTAGTAATAATAGTTTTGTATTCTGATTTTTTCATCTGCAATCTGATTGTTTATATTTTAATATAATATTTATTGCCTATTCAAAAAACAAAGGGTTTGAATTAAAGGATTTCAGCAATCGTTGACTAGAAACAAGTCATTTTATAAATTCGAATTTGGATTTTATTTATTAAAACTTTTATTATAGGTTTTCGAATTATATTCTGGAGGGTAGAGTCTGAATTATATAACTGTTTTCACTACAGTCTGTAGTCTACGGTTTATATAGTCTGTTTTCACGACCACATTAGTTCTTCCTTATTAAATACTTGTATGTAAATGTGTTCAAATTTTTATTTTACGATGATTTAAAAAACCATTTGATTTAATTAAATTAAAACTACATTTCTTCGTACGAGTATATGTAATAGAAAAACATTTTAAAGAATTTAACTACAGTATGTTATGATACACACGAAATGCAACTCTTGAAAAGGCTACAGAGACTTTGTATTCTTCTAATAAACTCAATATATAAGAAATGTACTATCATTAGTTAGTAAATACGCACCCAAAGTATTTCCATCAGGTTCTCTCATTTCTGTTAAAAATGATTGAGTCCGTCCGTCAAAATTCGGACTATTTAAAACTTGTCTTATGCCTTCTGCATTATGTACTGCAACTACTGGTAATGAGCCAACGTGAAATCCAATTATATCTGATTTATACCACTTTGAAAAGTTTAATACTCCTTTATGTAAATATTTAAAGTTAGACATCATCATAAATAAATAACTTCCGAAAAGCGGTATGCGTGGAGGACCTAAAAAGTCAAATGTATGTATGAAATAGTTGTAATAATAGCTTTAATATTCTAACGCACAGTAATGATTTAAATACAAATTGTACTTGTAATATATAATATTAATTATATGTTATTGTTAATATTAAAAACAATAATTTTAGATAACATTATAAGAAATATTTCTAACCTGGCGGAAATCCTGCTGGACGACCAACAGCATATCGATAGAATATATACATATAGGAAGAATAAAGCACTTAAAAACCATAAAATTTCACTCATCATATTTAATTAACGTATTTAAATAGTATTAAATATTTTCTTATTTTTAAATTTAAGATCTATTCACTAGATATTATAATTTCGTACTGAATATAAATTTTGTAAAATGAATCGATCTAGGTCTTATCAAAATGCAATTCCTTTATCAAATTGTAATTAAAACTAATATAAATAATAATTGAGTAAATTTAATTGAAGTAGTCAGCAGTTTAAGAACACTTGGAACCATGTTATGTAGAGTGTCATTCCTCCTCAAAATCAAAGTTGTTGTTGTTTTCAATCTAAGCAATAAAATTGAGAGTGAGAGAAAAAACTATACATATGTCGGTTAAAATTTTGTGATGAGACTCTACACAACATGACCCTTCTAGGTTCACTTTAAACCTTAACAACCATATTATAATAAGCAAACGTGTATATATATATATATACGTTACCTTCTTAAATGTTACCTTATTTCAGATCTATCGCATAAATCGATTCTCACCTTAGTTATTGTGTATAGTTTCAGGTTCTCAAACAAAAAAACTATAGGCTAAAAAAATTACATAAGAAAATTCTTACAAAATATGATATGTAATAATAGAGCAAATTCATAAGATGTCATATTAATTGAAGTATTCTTGTACTTTTTCATTAACTCTCTATAGAGTCTTGGACTTCTTCAAGTAAACATAATTGAAAGTTAAATGAATAAAAAACATTTTTATTAATCGAACAGAATATTTTAAACTCAATTGTTTAAATCAATTAGTTGTGCAACCCATACAATTATCTACATAAAAAATTAATAAATTATTACATATAATATATATCACATTCTTTTATTTTAAATATAAATTTTTTCCATAAATGAATTATTTTTTTTTAAAATGTTAACTTCGAACACCGGAAATTTACAATTTCTCATATTATATAAAAACACAAATTATTTCAAAACAAATAATTGCATAGATACAATTCTTCCCACACTTATATTTACTATATTTTTATGAATTTATTAATATTAAATTAAACATAGACTTATTTTCTGTCTTCCAATTGTACCCAAAAATCAGGTGGGGATATAATTAAACCATTCAAGTTTTTAGATAAATCGGGTAGCTTATCACCAGGTGCCAAAACAAAATTGAAATTTTGACATAATGTTGTTGTCATAAGGAAAAGCATGTTTCTAGCAAATGTTTCTCCAGCACATAAACGTTTTCCTACAACAATACAAAATATTGTATATTTCAACTATAATATAATATATAAATCAAGTAAACGGTACCTGCACCAAACGGTAAAGATACATCCTTCTTTAAACATAACTTTCCTTCGTCGTCAAGAAAACGTTCTGGTCTGAAATTTTTTGGATCACCCCAAGTACGTTCATCCATATGATATGCATACAAACTGGGAATTACAATTGTATTCTACAAAATTTAAAATATATTATTGATTGTCAGAAAAATGTAATAAATTTATATACTAACTTCTGGCACCTTATAACCCATTAACTCAGTATCCTCTAAAGCTTTGTGCGGTACATCTGATGGTACTAATGTTTCAATACGTAAACCTTCACGTATGGTTGCTTCTGTGTAATGCATTTCTTTACGATCTTCCAAAGTGGGTAAACGTCCACTACCTATAACTTCATCAATTTCTTTTTGAACACGTTTCATTACCTCTGGGTAAAGCATTAAATACTGTATTAAAAACGTGATCTGTACACCGACTGCACTTAACGCAGGGAACGAGAAATCAACTAAACTCATAATGAATTGACTGCGTGAGAAAGTGGAGTCTGTTTTACCCTCAGCTTCGGCTTGCTTCATTTCTTTAATATATAAATCTAAAAAGTTTCTCTCAAACCCTTCCTGATATGTTTCAATATGACGGTCAATGAAATTGGCGAAAAATGTGTGTATAAACATATTTGCTTCCATGAGTTTATTATAAGAACTCCAATTCGGGAAAACGTTCCTTATCCAAGGCATTATACTTAACAGTTTGCCATAATCATCAGCATGTCTTTGGAACTGCATTGCCATTTGAGTTAATTTTAATAAAACTCCCTGAAAGTATACACAAAGCAATTCTTAATTAAAGAAAGCCAATTGTACTTTTCGAATATAATTTTAATACGAGTATTCAGTAAATTTAAATATATTTAAATATATTGATTTTTATATTTATACATAGTTGTTATATAGTTTTAATTGCCGATTGAGATAATGTTGAACTTAAATTTACATATTATAGACATCTGTAAGTACAAAAGTTATGTATACTTTTACGATAAATTAGCTTTAAATAATTGAAATAATTTCTAACTTTACAAAAAATTAAAAAAACTTTGTTAAAACTAAGAAAAAACTAATTATTTATACGATTAATTGATTAATTTCTTTCTTAAGACTTTATTTTAATTAAAATTCTGTACTAAATTAGTGCGACATCTCACTTTGAAAATTTACACTCAGCAGAAAAACTTTGCGTACAAAAAAATAATTTTGTTTCTTCGTACAAAAAATTAGTAATTAAATAAATTATTTAATTCAACTTTATTTTGTATTAGTACTTTTAGGCCTTATATTCATTTTAAGCTAAACTTTATTCCTAACAGTTTAGTATAAATATAAAAATAATTAAAAGTGTGATATAGATGTGTCTTGGATTGATAACACGCTTAATTAGATATGTGAGTTTTATGAGAGATAATTAGTTAATATTTAACTTTTAATTATAATTTTTTTTATTCACTAATTTTTAGTTTGAAATATTTATAAGTTGTTTAGTAGTTTTATTTGTTGAGTACAGATTCACAATCATCAGACCAGATGATTGCGGTTTAATGCTATATCGGATTTAATATTATGAACTTAGTTTTATTTTAATGCCCAGCACAACCTAATTTTATAATCATGGTTACGATTATGAAAATTGTTAATAAAATTATATCTTATTTTAAAAAATTAGTTATCATGATAAATCATATGTTACTGTCTAATATTGTCTTTTAATCAGAAGCCCAAATAAATTTAGATAGACTGAAAATCGTTGAGGACCATTAACAGACTTATAAACTATAGACTGCAATATTTTATTTATTTACCTGTTCCGCTCGTGAATGGCGTTCATTATATACAATATGAAAGACACTATTTGTTGAAAATGGATGTAATAGTGATGGCAGTAATACTCTATATCCACCTGGTTTTACAATTTCTTTTTCATGTTCATAAAGTGGGCCATTACGTATTAGATCTAGCATATCGGTTAACTCTTCCTGTATAACCAATTCTAGTTGTTCGAAACGTCTTCCGAAACCAAAATCTCTTAAATAACGCAAAATGAAACGACGTTGTTCCTTCCAAATAGTTCCTTCTTGGAAAAATATACCTTAAAAAAATTAACACATATTATCACGTATTTTGTAAAATCATTAGAAACTATTTACAATATCTTATATCTTATTATATTAAGGGATTAAATCGATATATCCACATATTTATTTCATTTGAAATCTTGAAATTTTTTCTTAACTCATATTGCATTCAATATATACTCGTATGTCTCACGAAAAGTATTTTGGTAGATTTTCTTCAATCATAGACTCATAACTTTAATTCATTTATATATATCAGAAATTATTTAAACAAATATTATTACATCAAATATTATTTAATTTTATATTATTATATATCAATATATATATTAATTGTCACTTATAGACAAACTTTAAATCAGTAACTACCGATTTCGATAAAAAAAATTTGTAGACTACCTATATAGATTAAAAAGATAACAAAAAAAATAAACAAAAATAAGAAACCTGCAGATTTTTACTATAATTTTATCATGAGTCGATTCATATATATGTTGTTTATAATGTACTGAAGTATTTCAAAAGCATTTTACTTCTGTGATTTTGATAAGTAATAATTGAAATATTTTTCAATGAAAATAAGTAAACAATAAATAAATTCTAGTTGTATTTTAAGTACTTGAAAAATCAATTAAAACATATTTTTTTGATAAGAATATTTATTTATATTTTAAAATAGGTTATATAGATTTCAAAATATATACGATGCATTCTTAATAAATAAGATAGTTCATAATATTATAATAATAATATTTAATATTAATATATTATTATAATATTTAAATCATACTTAAATATCATAAATAAACTTAAAATTTTTATTCGCATAATAAAATTATAAGAAACACAGCTTTTTGTAATTACTATTATATTATTTACTGGATTTTCTTTTACAATATAAGCTCTAACAATGAATTTTTAATTATTAATTAGCATGTAAAGAAAACGAAACTTTTAAATTAAAATAAAGTAGCTGACTTAATAAGGATCTTACGCCATTAATGTGGGCTAAAACCTTCTTGAAACAAGGACTCAAAAACACAGATGCAATTTATTACTAACCTTTCTATAACGCAATGAATGAAAAATATGACTTAATTATAAAATTAAAAGTATTTATAAATGGAACTATGTAAAAAGAAAATAATTTATTAGACTGAATAGAGTTGACAACGGTCATAGGAATTAATAAAATTTATTTTTAGTGGTCTGTGCTTTATATGTATATCTTAAATATCAGTTGGCACAATAACAGTTATCTTGAACTATTAGATTCCAATTGAACCATAATTTTGAAAGAATAAATCGTGTCAATGTGTAATCAAAATTAAACAACTTTACAAACGGGTATAGTATGTTAAAGCTATTTGAGCCAGTGCACTTAAGCACTTTTACTTTTTCTTAACTCGAGGTATTTTCAAAACCCCTCTTTACGCCTTGACTGGATTATTGTTTATCACTTCATTAGACTAAGCAATAATTGATCTCAGATCTGCATACCTCCCCGAGGAGCCTGTAACATTCTGAGATTTGATAACGCTGTTGGTAAGTCTGTCAGTTTTCGCAAATAATTTTAGGGCTCTATAATCACTTACAATTTGTGTTAGAACATATGAAGACTGTACAAGTATAAGACCATACTAAAGTACTATGAAAAAATGTGAATCCTATAAATTTTGCTAATCATTATTTTGTAATAAAGAAATACATGTATATAAATATACACAAAATCCTTATTTTGTATATACTAAAGTATATATAAATATATATAGTATACATTGCAATTTTACTGATTCTTTTTTACTAATTCAATTTTACTAATCACAAGTTGTTCAATTCCTGTAGTTTTATATATATATATATATATACATATATATATATTTAAACAAATGTTGGCACATCAGCATTTAAGCATAATATCATAAGGGCACCATTATTTTATTATTTTTAATATTTTGTTTATAGCATATACATACACACACAATATATAATCGAACCATTCTTATTAACACGCCACATTTAGTAAAAATGATTTTTTAAATTCGATAAGAGAATTATTCACTTTTCATATATAAGCAAAATTTCTTAAAATTTTTTTTTAATATTAAAAATAATTTACCTTAACTTAAATTCAACTTATTCATTTAAACCTTTATCTCTATATATTTTTCAAAACATTTTTTAATTTTAAACACGCAAATAATTCGACTGATAAAAATATTAGATTTTTAAAATAATTTTATTCGGAAAAAAGAAATTATATTTAAAATATTTAGATTTCTTTTATAAACCCTACATAAGGTTTAAAATTTTTTTTAGGCGAAGGACCTAACAGTCCAGTTCATTATTCTTAATTAACTTTAAAATTAATTTTAATGTTAACTCACAAATAAATAAATAAAATAAAATAAAACATTTTTAAATTTACCTAAAATATTACGGTCGGGTTCCCTCATTTTTGCTAAGTAAACTTGTGGCCGTCCATCGAAACTTTTATTGTTTAACACTTGTTTAACGCCTTCGGCATTATGTACTGCAACAACTGGAAATGGACCAACGTGAAATCCAACTATATCCGATTTATACCACTTCGAAAAGTTTAACACTCCTTTATGTAAATATTTAAAATTGGACATCATCATAAACAAGTAACTACCAAATAGTGGTATGCGTGGAGGACCTAGAAGAAGAAAAAGAATAAGTTTTGATTATTAATTATAATATAAAAAATAATGTATTTTCTCCTATTGTGTATTATAATATATTTAAACGTATTAACGTTCATACAATACACATGTATTTTTTTTTAATATTATAATTAATTTTCCAAAACATTGCTAACCAGGCGGAAATCCTTCTGGACGACTAACAGCATATCGATAGGATAAATATAAGAAGAACAAGGCACTCAATAACAGTAGTATTTCAGTTAACATTTTGAATATATCTGAATCTGTACCGATTTTTAATATATATTTTTCTTATACTAAATTCTTAGTTCTTTTTTGTTCACATCACAATCGCGTACTGAACTTTTACTTTTTAAAATAAATCGCTTTAGGCCTTATCAGGAAATAATTCCTTTATCAAATTATAATTAAATTGAATACAAATGAAAGACATTAAAAGAAGAACAGCGTATGTGGTCAGCAATCTTAAAACGGTCAGACGCTTGTTTGTTTTGTGTTCGACAACAGCATTTCAACGAATTCCCGAGCAACAATCGATCAACACATTAATGCGATATAATATCAATATTTATAGATAATAATAGGAAATAATCGCATATTGTATGCGATGTGCTATGATTTAGGTTTTTCAAACAAATCGCTGTAGATTACTTATGTACTAATCTTTTCACGCACTCAAGCAAAAAAATTTTAAGTCAGACAAATGTGCATAATAATCTTAATAAGCAAATAATCTTAACGAAGAAAGAATACTCGTTAATGATATACTCGTTAATGAAGATTACATAGCTAATTTGTACCGTTTCGTGTCTATCAACCTCATTAACTTTCAATTGTATAGAATTACAATCTAAAATTATACAATTCAATACAATCCAAGTAAATATAGTGAGACGAATGACACACTGTATTATCAAAGATTGATTGTATCGCATGCTAATTACTTCTTAGTGTATTTATTTCTGTCCCCGAGGAGTAAAACCTCATCAATAAATGGTATGTGTAAGATTATAGATAATCTTTAAAGAAACAATTAAAGTTAGAATAATATGTAATAGTGCAACAAATATAATTATTTATTCTATAAATAAATATTCCAAATATTTAATTTAATTTAATTTATTTAAATATTTATTATATATGTATATTACTAAATATACACATTTGATTTACAACATATAGTACATAAATATGAAAATAAAGTTAAAGTAAAGTAACAGGCAGAGCAATGATCGTCGATCATCACATTTTTAGTTGCTTTCAATGTATATTAAAAGACTGATGATGATCGACGATCATAGCCCTTATGATAACATTTTTGTATTAAAGATATTAATTATTCATTTCATATTCAATTTTAACGTCAGTAATGACGGTTGTGACTATTTGACTGAATAGAAACTATTGTATTTCATAGAGAGGTTTCGAACAGTAGTAAACTACAACAAACAAATAATTTTCAATATATTAATTAATTGTATTTTTAAATAACTATAATTATGAAATAAAATAAGTAAAAAAATAACTGAAATAATAAAATAAAAATTAACTACAATTAATGCAATTATTCTACAGCTAGCTTATAATTTCGTTCTAATATAACACAGCAAGTGAAATATATCATATCATATATATCATTTCACAACAAGTTTAAAATGAACTTTCACATTAAATAAATAAAAAACTCCAAGTTCCAACATACAAGTCAAATACGGCTTTGGGTTAGTTGGCCAATGAACACCGACTCTGAACTTCAAATTTGGCAGGGTACACAGTTCAAGATTTGGTACTTGCAGTTTAAAAAAAATATATACAAGTCAAATACGGCTTTGGGTTAGTTGGCTAATGAACACCGACTCTGAGCTTCAAATTTGGCAGGGTACCCAGTTCAAGATTTGGTACTTGCAGTTTCAAAAAAATTATTTACGAATAATAAATATAAAAAGTAATTGATCTTGTAATAATTCCAAGATCACTGACATTTAATTGCTCAACATATAAAGGATTCAACAAATGTTTGCATGTTGTCTTCGATGGCCCATATTTTTTCAATGTTTCAAGTGATTGCCTGAAACTCCTCGTCTGGCTGTCTCGTTTGCTTTGCAATTGACGAAAATATCAATATGATCGGTAATCCATAGTAGAGAAGTGCTAAACTGCGCCGACATCTCATTTAAAGATGTGTAGCAAGAAAAACCGTCCTGAATGTGAATTGGACTGAACTCAAGGAAATTTAAACAGCTTGACGGTATGGCATTATGTATATATTCTTATTAAATATATTATTCACTTTTAGACTTGCTTTATCTTCACTAATTTCCATCATCTCACATAAAAAACATTGCAATGACCATGAAGTCTATAATAATTTAATTTATAAAGAAAGAAAACTCCTACTTATTTTAGAAGCGTCAGTAAAAATTGTTAGACACTCCCCTAATGTGGGATCTACCGATAGTTATTTGTATTTAGATGAGTATTACGTTCCAATCGATTTATTGATAGACATCGATTTATTGATAGTCTATAATAATTTAATTTATAAAGTCCTTTCAAGAAAACTCCTACTTATTTTAGAAGCGTCAGTAAAAATGGTTAGACACATTCCTTTAATGTGGGACCTCCCGATAGGTTTTTGTATTTAGATGAGTATTACGTTCCAATCGATTTGTTAATAGACATTTGCTTCTTTATCTAAATTTGTGTTTTGTAGATACTATAGTTCTAACAGTTTTTGGTATTTAAGTTGCTACAGATATCTGCTTAAGGAAGACATTTGACTATGTCAAATGAAAGTTAAATTCATTGAATGTCAATTATTTTCTACTATTTTTACTCCAGTAAATAACGACGTTTTTATGTTGGCAATAACAAACTAAGAGTAAATATTATTACATAATAAAAGGTTTTCAAAGCCACGTATTGAGTGTTTTGTTTACCAAACTTTATCTATAAAATATATTATTATTTTATCATATTTAATCTCTTTGATATGAAATATTTTATTAATATCGCTGTATTATTGTAAAATATTTAATTTTAATATCTTAACTAATGTTTTTTTTTACGCAATACAAAATTGTGTTACCATTTTTTTTTATACGGATGATATGAAAAATCGAAGTCAATTTTAAATCTCGTAATATAGTCTTATTTTTTCACTATACTCCCGAAAGTGATTTAGGTCAGTGGCGTATAGAAGACTGTATTGGAGCTCAAATCCTCTTCTAAAATATTTTGCACCATGTTATACCAGATATATTGAATATTTCTCATTTAAATGTTTTCATAAGAAACTTGAATTAGTTTTTTACTTACTTTTAATACAATAAATAAATTCAATTAAAAAATTATAATAGGGGCTCTTATGAGTAAATGCGAAGATATAGAATATCGTTCACCCTTAGGAAAAATACACTTTTTCTTTATTTTTCTAATAGCTTATTTTCCAAGTAAATGTATATGTAAACATTATTTAAAAAAATTTTATTTACAGTTATAAAAAATCATTTAAAGGTTCTTAATATTTTATTTTTATTTCATTTGCTATCTTCTAAAAGATGCAGCTATTTCTCTCCAAAAAAACAAAAACTTTGTCGTCTTGATAAATTATCCAATGACTTTATTATTGATATCGGAGATATTTGAGACCTCAGTGTAGATATTCGTCTTGTGGCAAGTGCCAGTTAACTACAGCACATTAGTAACACTTTTATCTTGCTTCTCTAAGCTACAGCTAAGACAATTGTTGATGGAAGATTCCCTTTCTATTCATGTCGCATCAGTACTTCGATTGTTTTAGACTTAAGTGGCTAACAAGATCAATTACTTGCTAAGCTCTTGTCTGATACTAGACAGTACTTTTGTGTCATATTTAGTCTTCCACTTTGAAATATTCCGTACGTGCATTTCAGTCAGCATTTCTATTCATGTCCCATCACTACTTCCATTGTTTTAGGCTTAAGTGGCTAACAATATCAAATACTTGCTAAGTTCTTGCCCGATTCTAGACAGTACTTAGGTGTCATATTTAGTCTTCCACTTTAAAATATTCCATACGTGCATTTTAGCCAGTTTAACTAAATCTAAAATAGTATTTACAACCAATATGATTGATGTAATGGAATTTACGACTTTCTATCGCTTCTCCTCACTATCGTTTAATTTCATTGTCTACAATTTATTGTAGCTAATACAATCATTTATAAATGACATATTCTATATCACTAATTATTTTATAATGTGATTTTATTACTAGCTCACTATATGAACTTACTTCTGTGTTCATTAAGTGTACTCAACAAAATGTTTGTGCTTCTAAGAGGATTAATTTAGAAAAATTTCTAATAATTAGTAAGATTTGTGTAATGCATAACTAAAAGCAAACATTATTTTTGTTAAACAATTCTCAAAAAAACTCAACAATTTTGAAAAAAACTCAACAAACATATAAATACCAAAACAATACGTTTTAAGACATTACAAATAATCAGTTTTTAATTTAATCTTTATTTCTATTTGATATTATAATATAGCATAATCGTCCTTGGAAAATATTAGTTTGTTCAGTTCACATCTTCAGCCTTTGAGGCCTTTAGTTACTGGGTCTTCATATAAAACATTTATTTCCATTTACTTAATTTAATTCCAAATAATTATAATTAATACAAATATACATGAAACGTACAACACAAATTCCTAATATTTATCAAATTGCACATTTCAATAAATTTAAAACACAACCTTTATTCCATATCATGTTTCGTCCATAGATATGGTCCTATTACCTTGTGAATAATTATTATATATTAAGTCTTTCCATTCATTGTCATATAGTGAACCATCTTGTCTACTCCATATAAGAAATTGCACTTCTTCTTGAGTATGACAAGCTGTTTTAATGCGAAAAGGCTTCCACTCCGAGTGATTGTGTGTCTCATGTATTGTAAATCCTTGTATAAAATCTGGCAATACTTGTGTATTAATAAAAATTCTGGTGACGTTAATATATTTTTGCAAACTGTAAATAATAAATATATTATAGTTTTTAATAAAGATATATTTATGAAGTTATTAATCAACTCACATATTTAATTGTTTTATTGTAATATTTTTTTGTACAGCCTTTTCTGCTCTTTGTAACTCGGCATCAGCGATTCTTTTTTTGGTGCCTGCTTGAAGCTGTTGTAAATCATTTGTTTTCGTTCGCAAAAAAGTATGTAACTTTTGAACTGCTTTTTGCATTTTATTTATTTCCAGTCGGAGCAATTCTATTTGTTTCTTTTGTTTTATAATGTGAGTTTTAAGCTGATCTAAAATTCAGGGAGTTTCAATTATTGTTAGCATTATCAATTTTATATTGTTTACATACTTTTGTCTTCTGTGTATTTCTTATTCGCCAATACTATTTTTGTTTCCATTTGTTCTAATGTACATTCCCGTTTCTCTAAAGTTTTAAATCGTTTAGCAAAGTCATAAATACTCATTTTTGTATTTTACATTTAAAAATTAATACTTCAAAACATTTCCAAAGCCAAACAAAAGCAAATCAAACGAAATTTTTTTTTGAAATTTGACATATGTCGAAATGTGCATTTTAGCCGCTGTACACATATGCAGAGTGGAGTTACCATAACCACTGTAAAGACAGAAATGTGTATCAACTCTCTGTGTATTTTGTGTTAGCGTAATAAGTCAAATAGGTTTATTCTATATCGAATAGTCATTACTTGGTGCAGTTTTAACAATTTTGTCTTGTAAACAATTAACTAATCCAACAACAAAATACATTATAAACTGCCATTGTTTGAAAGAACATTAAAGCATTAGAATTTACGCTTGCGATTTTTTTTTGTTTCATATTATTTAAATTTTACCCAATTAAGTAAAGATATTAATGAATTTTAAAAAAATTCCAACACAAATGTAAAAAATATTTAAAAACCATTTTGTGAAGCTATTTCAATATTTTCATGTAGTAATGAAAATATTTAATAATATTATTATTTAATAATATTTATTATTATTATTATATAATAAATTTAATAATAATAATATATTTAATAATAATAATATTTAATAAGTTCTATAAACTACATTAAAGTTAAATATTAATATAAAAGAGCTTCTTTGATATTCTCATTTTTTTGAATAGTTCGGATCATATTTTTTTTTTTACTTAAAAATTAAAATTAATTTTTATGAACAAAATAAAAGTTGAGAATGAAATTATCATGATAACACATATGTTTCTGTTTTCATATGCATATAATAAGTCTGTTCCACGAGATACTCGTAGTAAAACTTAAAACACATGTAAAGTTCAAATTGAGAGCGTAACACATATAAATTGCCAAATTACGCTCTTACACAGATTTTCATGAAACAGCAAATAAATACAAAAATTGAAACCTAAACCAAACTGATTCACACATCAACACAAATTTTACTTGAAATTAAATGTACGAGTCAAATCTGTGCAGCATTTTCAAATTTCAACAGGGATGTTACGCTCCCTCAGATGCACTCATTTACTCTAAAATTTGTGGAACGCACTTGTGTATTCACAGTGTCACTCAAAGTCATTAAGAGTAGCTCATAGAACAGACATATTAATATATTAATACTGCGTCTTACCTTTTAACTGTAAGAACTTATCGTTTTTAATGTAAATAAATAAGTTATTCGTAAAATTTCTTTATGTATTTAGTTTTCATAGTTTTGCAGTTTCTTACAAAACTTAGATTTAAAATATATTTCTGGCAATACTAATTTACTATCATGTCGTAAAATATTACATCACTTTACGATCTTTATTTATCATGTTAAATATATTTAATTTTCGGTGCAAACGTAAAAATTTAGATTATTATAAATTTAAGATCATGAGCCATAATTTTGCCTTTATATGCGGTTCGTTTATGTAACTTTCTAACTTAGTTTTCTTGAACGTTTTTCTAACTTTTGACTTAAAGTGACTCGAAGTGTTTGTTAAAAGTCAAAAAAATCGTTCGAGAAAACGAAGTGAGAAAGTTACATAAACGATAGTCTAAAATATTTACTAAATATCAGTAAGCTATGATCCATAAATTTCAATTGAAATAATATCTACGTTATTATTTGATAAAAATTTTTTTTAGTTATACATATATTTACAAGTACTGCAAATAGATCGTTAATTATTAGGAAAAATTGTTTTTGAAAACAAATTTCAAATATAAATTGAAAATTTAACACATATAGCATCTTAAAGTAAGATCATGAAGAGCCTATATATATTACTAATATGTTTACTCTTCATTGAATTCGTGAACTTGTTTTGCTGAAGTTTGAGTTTTTGAGTTTTTCTGTATATAATACCTTATATAATTTGTGTAAATGCAACACTGTATTCAACCAATAAATCTGAGAGAAAATATTACATTGAAAAAATTTTAACATTTGTATTCTGAGTGAAAGAAAATTTTGTTTATTAAAAAGTTAAACGTCTTATTGCAGGCATTTCATAAGATTTGGTAACTAAATAAAGTATAACAATGGATTCGGATGACGATGATATGCCTGAGGAAACAGGAATTAATTTAACCGGCATATTGTTTGGAAATATTGATGATGATGGCAAACTGCAAGATGAAGAATTCGATGATAATTTAGAACTTAAACAAAACTTGCATTCATTATCTAAGTAAGTGAATATATAAATCAAATTTTTTTACAAAGCTCAATTAATAAACAAAACTTTGTCAGGTTTAGCCACATAAGTTCTGTTATAACCTCAATGTTAGCTGAAGATGAGAAACTAAGTGATTTTGATGCATTGAAGTCTGGTGTGTCCCCAACTGAAGACGATGACTACGACGGTGGTAAAGATGAGGATGCGGTTGATTTTTTTGATATTGAGGAGTTTTCTGAGGATTGCTCAAGATCACCGGTGACGGCAGTACACACAATATCTGGAGAGGATCTTGAGGATGCAATACCAGCTAATAAAGTAGAAGCTAGTCGTAAGTCACAAATTATATACAATTTTTTTTTTTTTAAGCAACTTTTAAAGTTAATATTTCTTTAGATTTAAAAAAAGATGATAAAGAACTAATGCCACCACCCAGTCTACCTACACGAAGTGGTAGTACATCTAATGATGACACAAATCAAAAAAATGAAAGTACCGATACTGCATCAGAACTAGATAAATCTCAAAAGCGTAAGTAAATATAATATATCACCAACAATTTGAGTGAATTATTTTAGATCTAATATATAAAAAAATCTATATTAAACTTTATTCTTTCAAAAATTGTTAACAGTAATGGAGCGTAAGCTTGATACTCCATTAGCAGATATGCTACCATCGAAATATGCTAACGTAGATGTAAGAGAACTATTCCCTGATTTTCGTCCAGATAAAGTATTGCGTTTTTCACGTCTTTTTGGTCCAGGTAAACCATCTAGTTTACCACAAATTTGGCGTCACGTGAAAAAAAGAAGACGTAAGCGGAAACAATCAAGAGATCACAAGGTAAATGAAAAATTTGTTGTTAATAATAGCTGTATTTAATGTTTAAAAATATTTTTAGAATGTAAATGGTGGTTCAGACTCAACAAGTGATTCTGAAGAGCCCAAGAAAAAGGGTTTTGGTGTTTTTTATGGACCTGAACCTACACCGGATCAATGTAGGTCCGATGATGAAGACAAACTGTTAAGCGAATTAAACGATGAAGGTGAAAAACAAGAAGACTTAGAAAATGGTGAAAGTAATGAAAATAAACCAAAAATTGCTGATTGGCGTTATGGACCAGCACAGATTTGGTATGATATGCTTGAAGTGCCTGATTCTGGAGAAGGATTTAACTATGGCTTTAAAGTAAAATCTTTAGCTGAATCTAAAAAAAGTCAAAATGATTTGGAGATTTCATCTCATGACAATCTTGAAACTGAAAACGCTCTTCCTGATGATGCATTCTTAATGTTATCACAGTTACATTGGGAAGATGATGTGGTTTGGGATGGAAACGATATAAAAGCAAAAGTTTTACAAAAATTAAATTCAAAAACTAATGCTGCTGGTTGGTTACCATCAAGTGGTTCACGTACTGCCGGTGCATTCAGTCAGCCTGGTAAAACAATGCCAGCTTCTGGTACCCCAGGTGGGAAAATGTCCGGCGGTTCTGGATCAAGTAGCAAGCAAAAAGCAAATCAAATGTAATAAATTTTTAATTTTAAGATTTATATATGAGATTTATATTTCCAATATTTTTATTACAGTATACAGCCGAAACCTGTTGAATCTATTGATGACACTTGGTATAGCATATTTCCTGTTGAAAATGAGGAATTAATTTACACAAAATGGGAAGATGAAATAATATGGGATTCTGCAAATATGCAAAAAATGCCTAAACCAAAAGTTTTAACACTCGATCCTAATGATGAGAACATAATATTAGGTATACCAGATGATATTGATCCATCTAAAATTAATAAAAATACTGGGCCACCACCGAAAATTAAAATACCACATCCACACGTTAAAAAATCAAAAATTTTACTTGGAAAAGCTGGTGTAATTAATGTATTAGCAGAAGATACACCACCTCCACCACCAAAAAGTCCTGATCGCGATCCATTTAACATATCAAATGATTCGTAAGTTGATTGATTCTATAATATCGTTATGATATTACAAAAATAACACATTAAAATCAGTTTTTGCTTTTATTTGAAATAGTTTTAATAATTTTTTCAATTAATTGGCATTACTAATTAACAAAAAAAATAGTAAATTTAAGTAGAATCAAATATGTAAATATATGCTTCATATTTGCATTGATCAAAAATATTTTTTGAAATAAATCATTTAATAATTTGAGTTATATATAATTAAATTTCGAGTCAATTTATATTATATTATTATTTATTGTGTCACTCAGATATTATATGCCGAAGACTGAACCGACTTTCCGCCTTAAAGCTGGAGGCGGTAATTTAATACAGCATTCAACACCAGTAGTAGAATTACGTGCTCCTTTTATACCTGTAAGTTGAATTAAAACTAAAATTTATTTTAATATTTTTATGAACTAAATCATTCATAATTCTTAAAAGTATTATAGAACTTATAAAAACCTACGACTTTAAATTAATTATTCTTTATTTATATTTATAAAACAGACACATATGGGACCAATGAAGCTACGTGCCTTCCATCGACCACCATTAAAGAAATATTCACATGGTGTATTATCACAAACCATACAACATCAAGTGCTACCATTGCTTAAAAACATTGCGAAAAAAGCGAAGCAAAGGGAGTTGGAAAGAATTGCATCAGGTGGTGGTGATGTATTTTTTATGCGTAATCCAGAGGATTTAAGTGGTAAAGATGGAGATATTATTTTAGCTGAATTTTGCGAAGAGCATCCACCATTGATGAATCAAGTATATACATATATATAATTATTTATATTATTTTATATAAATTTAACGAATTAACTTAAAGGTTGGCATGTGTTCGAAAATTAAAAACTATTATAAACGTAAAGCAGCAAAGGATAATTGTACAAAAGACTTTAAATATGGCGAAGTGGCTTTTGCACATACAAGTCCTTTTCTTGGTATTCTACATCCTGGGCAGTGTATACAGACTATCGAAAACAATATGTACCGTGCACCGATATACCCACATAAAATCAATACTACTGATTTCTTAGTAATACGTTCTCGAAATAACTATTGGATACGATCTGTCGACGCATTATTTACAGTGGGACAAGAATGTCCATTATTTGAAGTACCAGGGCCAAATTCGAAGAGAGCAAACAATTTCACACGTGATTTTTTGCAGGTTTGTATATGTAAAAATAAATCAAATAAGTTAAATTTACACATTTCTTCCTTTCAGGTGTTTATATATAGATTATTCTGGAAAAGTACTGACAATCCGCGTAGAATTCGTATGGATGATATTAAACGTGCCTTTCCAGCACATTCTGAGAGCAGCATTCGTAAGCGTCTTAAACAATGTGCTGATTTTAAACGTACTGGTATGGATTCAAATTGGTGGGTAATCAAACCAGAATTCCGATTACCGTCAGAGGAGGAAATACGTGCTATGGTATCACCTGAACAATGCTGTGCTTATTTTAGTATGATAGCAGCTGAACAAAGACTTAAGGTATCTATCAAATTAAAATTAAAATGACTAATCAGGTTAAAACTATATTCGTCTCAGGACGCTGGTTATGGTGAAAAATTTTTATTTGCACCGCAAGAAGATGATGATGAGGAAGAGCAAATGAAACTTGATGATGAAGTTAAAGTTGCACCATGGAATACAACACGGTAATATATATTTTACATCTTATTTTATACACATTAATAACTTTAATATATTTACATATATATGTAAAAAAAAAATACACGTAGAGCTTACATACAAGCTATGCGTGGAAAGTGCTTGTTACAATTGACTGGTCCTGCAGATCCCACAGGTTGCGGAGAAGGTTTTTCATATGTTCGAGTTCCAAATAAACCCACTGTAATTTTATTAACCTAATTAAATTTCCAAACGATATACTAAATATGTTTTTTTAACATTGCAGCAAACGAAAGAGGAACAAGAGTCTCAACCAAAACGTACTGTCACAGGTACCGATGCCGATTTACGTCGCTTGCCTCTACAACGAGCTAAAGAATTGCTACGTAAATTCAAAGTTCCGGAAGAGGAAATCAAAAAACTTTCTCGTTGGGAAGTAATTGATGTCGTGCGTACGCTTTCTACTGAAAAGGCTAAAGCTGGTGAACAAGGCATGGATAAATTTTCACGTGGTAATCGTTTCTCAATAGCAGAACATCAAGAACGCTATAAAGAAGAATGTCAACGTATATTTGATTTACAAAATCGTGTTTTGGCTAGCGAAGAAGTGCTTTCAACTGACGAAGCCGAATCCTCAGCATCTGAAGAATCAGATTTAGAAGAGCTTGGTAAAAACTTGGAAAATATGTTGTCAAATAAAAAAACATCAACCCAGCTTTCTATGGAACGTGAGGAGCAAGAAAGACAAGAATTATTGAAAAAATTCATGGAAGAGCAGGAGAGCAGTAATTCCAAAGGTGGTAAATCAAAGGATGGTAAAGATGAAAACTCCCAACAACCAGTGCAAAATCCAAATCAAGGTCGCATTTTGAAAATAACTCGAACTTTCAAAAACCAAGAAGGTAAAGAATATACACGAGTTGAATTGGTACGTCGCGCACCTGTCATTGATGCATATGTAAAAATACGCACTACAAAGGATGAGCAGTTCATTAAACAATTTGCCACATTAGATGAACAACAAAAAGAAGAGATGAAACGAGAAAAACGACGTATTCAAGAGCAATTGCGACGTATTAAACGTAATCAGGAACGTGATCGTTTAGCGCAATTAGCACAAAATCAAAAGTTACAACCTGGTGGTATGCCTACATCTTTGGGTGACCCCAAATCATCTGGTGGATCATCACATAAAGAACGCGATACAAGTCATAAAGAAGTTAGTCCGTCACGAAAGAAATTCAAACTGAAACCAGATTTGAAACTTAAATGTGGAGCATGTGGTCAGGTATTGTATAAACCAATAAGATTTTCTGATTATAAACTAAATTTTAAACTATTTTTTTTATTATTTAGGTTGGCCATATGCGTACCAACAAGGCATGTCCTCTTTATACTGGCACACAATGTCCTTCCACACCAGTAAATGTAACAATTCCCGAAGAGCCAGAAGAGGAAGTGGAAAAAGAAGTTAACGTAGAAGATGATGATTTTGTTAATGTGGACGGAACCAAAGTAACGCTGAGCAGTAAATTGCTTAAACGTCACGAGGATCTGAAGCGTCGCACATTATTATTGAAAGTGGCAAAAGATGGTACTGGCAAGAAGAAACGACGCATGGCTGGTGATTTGCATTGTGACTACCTGCAGCGACATAATAAGACTGCAAATCGTAGACGCACCGATCCAGTTGTTGTATTATCTTCAATATTGGAAGAAATACTAAATGAATTACGTGCTATACCTGACGTCTCACCATTTTTGTTTCCTGTCAATGCTAAAGTAATTTTAGAAACTGAATATAAATCATATTTATTTGAGTTATATATATATGTATTTTGTACAGCTTGTTCCCGATTATTATCGTATTGTTACTAAACCTATGGACTTACAGACGATGCGCGATCATATAAGAACACGTCGTTATCATAACCGTGAAGAATTCTTAGCTGATCTGAACCAAATTGTAGAGAATTCAACATTATATAATGGTGCTAATAGCTCATTTACAATGGCTGCACAACGTATGATACAAAAATGTTTCGAACTTTTGTCAGAAAAGGAAGATAAACTAATGCGCTTGGAGAAGGCAATAAATCCTCTACTGGATGATGACGACCAAGTCGCACTTTCATTTATTTTTGAAAAACTTCATGGTAAAATTAAACTTATGCAAGAAAGTTGGCCTTTCTTAAAACCTGTGAATAAAAAACAAGTTAAGGACTACTACACAATTATTAAGAAGCCAATGGATCTAGAGAAGATTGGTAAAAATGTTGAAGGTAAAGAGAATGTGAATATATACATATGTACATATTTATTAATTATGTTTATGTGTAAACGAAGAGTATTAGTTAACACTTCAGTCTTGTACTATTTAGCTTGTAATCAGCACAAACATCATATACTTACTGCCTACTAAGCAGCAATACAATCTCCTGACTCATATCTTATAGTGTAGTAATAGTATAGTACTAGCTTTTTTGAGCAAATTTTTCCACTAACCTAAAATGCAGATATAATTTACTTCTCGAGATATCGGGGTATAACAAAAAAGTCTACTCACGCCATCTAGTTGCAATTTATTGTATACACTTTGCTTTGGCTGAAATTAATATCACTAATTAGGACCTTCTTATTAACAAGCGATTTTCAGTCTTATTTAGAGAGTAGACATTCTTTCAACGCATTTGAGATCAAGAATTTTGTAACTACTAAGTACCTTATAGCTGCGATGATCATCTGCTAGTAGTTATTAAGTTAAATAGTGCTCCATTAATTGTTGTAAACCGACAATTATTTTGCGCTCCACTAGTTCATGAGAAACTGCCGAATTGGGAAGATATTTTTTAAAAAAAAAAACTTTATTTTTTAGCTAATTCAATTAAGATTCAAAATTCTGTGTAAAGAGTATCTCAGCTTCGGGGAAGCCAAAATTTTAACTTGTATTTTTTTTTTCAATTAATTTAACTTGAACTATAATATGAAAATATGGTTCAGAAAATCAATTAAATATAATTTATTTGTCACAAAACTTAACATTATGGCACTTGTTATTAGTATTTTCTATGTAAAAATTCTCTGATTTAATATCCGATAATTCAAAAAAATGTTAAGAATAATTGACTTTTCTGCAATCTGTTGTCTAATGAACGTCGAATCGTGCACATGATTTATATATGAAAATAGTTTTTTATTAACTAAATTGGTTACTTAAAATTAATTTTTATTTCAATTACAGCTCATCGTTACCATTCGCGGGCAGAATTTTTGGGTGATATTGAGCTAATAGCCACGAATTGTGAACAGTACAATGGTAGTGAGTCACGATTCACAAAGCACGCCAAATATTTATTAAATTTTGCTAAATCCCAGTTAGAAGAGGTAAGACTTAATTAACCACATATGTCTGAATGTAAAAATTAATAAATTTCTTATCATTTTTAGTTTGATGAACACTGTGCGCAATTGGAACAGAATATAAGTAGGGTTCAGGAACGGGCACGTGCTGATATTGAAATGGATGACACTTGGGGTGGTGATGAGCAAGATTATGATTATAATCGTACAAGTCGCTCTAGCACACCTGATGAATTTGTAGATGTGGAAGGCAATGAACCGTCATCCTCAAGTTCCTTACAGCGTGCTTTTGGTGGAACTGGATTGAATGATGGAAGCTTTAATGCACCTCCACCGCCCGATGTGAAGAGAGGACGTGGCAGGCCACGTAAACAACGTGATACTGTCGAAGAAGGTAAAATAATTTTATATATTTATAAAGTATAAATTTCGTTTTTTATATTTTTAGTTACATTATTACAAGCTTTTTAGTTGTTTTTCATTGCATTAAAACATATTCATTCCCTTTTTTCTTATTTTAGTTAGTACACATTTTTTAGTTGGGTTTTGTTTTTATATTGAATACATTAACTTTTTCCATTTTATTTCGCAATCATGTAACAAACTATATATAATCGTAAAAGTTACTGCATGAGCAGAGCTACTCGTATCTTTAAAAATATATTTATCGAAGTGACTAAATTATTTTATAAATCATTTTGTCGAAGTTTGAAACCACTTCATCCGAAGTCGGTGTTTGGATTAATTCACAGTTACTGCTTCATATAAAGTCAAAATAAAATTTTAATTAATCAATTCAGTTGAAATTATATTTTATTTTAATTTTTACCTTCCCGAAATTTAACAAAATGAAAAAGTTGTTTTATCTTTTTTTCTCTCTTAATTTTGTATATCATTTTACACAAAATTGTATTATAAATATTTATAAAAAATATTAAAAAAAAAACAAGTTCATTTACAAATATGGGTTAAAGGACATCAAACCAAAATACCTTACAAATTTTATTTTTTAGTCAAAGTTATACCGAGTGCTGTTAAACGTGGTCGTGGTCGCCCGCGCAAGGACAGCTCAAATTTAAATAACACAAATAATTCCTTTTTGGAAGAAGGTAAGACTAATTGAGATCTAACCGATAAATGTGCATTCAAATAAAAATTACTTTAGCCAAATAAATGCACTTACGCACACAAAGTACAAATTTATTTATCATACACATATAATTGATTTGATTTAAAATTAAGTTTGAAAATTCAAAAATCTTCTTTATTAGTTTCACACTATTTTGGCTTGTTGTGTTCGGCTTTCCTACTCATTTTTATTTTTTATTTAATTTTTGTATGAAACTCAAGCACTCCCATCATACATATTTGCACACACAATATTTGCTTTGCTTTGTTTTGGCCACTTTACTTCAAATTCTAAATTATTCATTAATTAAAACGACAGATATGATTACTAATTAGCATCGCTTAGTATTTTGGCAATTAGCGCTACTAACATTTTGCAACACTAACACAAATTTCTAGGCACTCAAATTCTGTTTGGTCTATAATAATGAAATTCAATCTCTTTATTTTCCCTTTGAAATGCACTTTTAACTCAAAATATAGATCTCCAATGCTCTACGGACGATGAAGAGTTTCAAGAAGTTTCAGAAGATGAGAATAATACAGCCAGCATTCTGGATCAGGGTGAACGTTTGCAGGCAAACGTTAGCAATGAAAACGATACGATCGATATATCGCATATTAAAACAGAAATGAAAACTGAGCCAATTCAAATGCATCCAGGTAATTATAATTATCATCACTAATAAATATGTTTTTTTAATTATGCTTTTGTTATTACGCAATATTAGTTATTTTTATGTTTTAAATATTATTACTTCAAAAGTGTGATCAAAAACATCAAAATTAATATATATAAATATAGTCATTAAGTAACAAGAATCGCAGCTTTAAATATAAATCCCCAACATTATTTATAAAAATTTATTTATGGTCTCGATTATCCGGATACCCAATAATCCGGACAAAGATAAGACAATATTACATCAACAATCGGGATACTAAATTTTTTATATGACAGATTTATCAAATTTTTCCCAACTTCAGTCAATAGTATAGAATTTTATATTAGTATTTTTTTGGAATTTTACTTACTAGAAAAATAATTCCATTGGACTCTGGATGTAATCACGTTTGCAAAACGAATAGGAAGAGAGTATGTAGAATGCTAGATAAGATCAAGTAAGGAAAGGAATCAAGATAGGTGGGAATACTTGAGTATAGACTATACCAATAGGGAACGGAGTGAAAATCAATAAAGCTCAAGTTAGTGTGTGTGTGCTAAGGCACCCGTTTCAGAGGGTAGATATACAATTAGAGTACCCATAGGGGATTACCGATTTTATATACGAGAAGTATTTATTTAGGATGAGAATATATCCGGAATTAAGCGAGTATAGGTATTGCTTGCCTGCTGAAAGGCTTGGTTTTTTATCCTCAAAGATATTTGACGGATTTCTAGTGGAAATTAAATTGCAAATGTGATACCGAAGTCAATACAACCTCAAACAACAAGGGTTTGAAAAATTGAAAACCCTTCCCGATATTTGAAAGGTCAACGAACAACAAACTACACACTAATAAAAATAACTGAAATCAGTTTTATAATGTGTTTTGTTGTTACGTCACTGCTCTTTTTAATATTCAATATATTTCTGCTTCGGTAAGAGTTGATGTATTATTGATACGCAGTTGGAGAATCGATATCTTTAACGTAAAGAGAGCGCTCTATTAGCTAGAGTGCCATTTTTCATGTTGCTGATGATGAAGCATAAAGTTATACCTTCTGGATATCTGCTTAACCATTCAGTTTTTCTACGCATATCACACTTTTTTTGTTGCTTATAGTAAACAAACAAAGCCATTGGTTAAGTAAAACCATTACTTCGTATATTTTTTCTCCTTGCTATGATGCAGTGAAGGTGATATTGGGGATTATATATATTTTTACTTGGCGTGACAACAAACATCGATTTAGTGATGAACTGCCTTTTAGTCTGTCTGCCTTTTATTAAAAAAACATATTTCTGAATATATCTTTTTGGATTTTGTATTCATGAAACTCAAGTTAACAAATGGTTAAAATTTATAATCCATGTCTATATCACATAAACGTGTATTTAAAATTAAGAATATAGGTTTTATTTTAAGTATCAAAAAAAAATTTCAATATAATTTATATTTATCTATGTGACAGTATGAAAACTTCGACAAAATCTAAAATTATAGATATTTTTTATATTTTTTTTACCAAATTATCGGTCATAAATCGATCAAGTCTTTATTAGTTTCTGTATTATTATTTATTAATTGATTACGATTGAATATAATATTATTTGTCATATCAATCATTTATAAAGATTTTAGTGACTTATAAATAACATATTAATTATGAATTAATTTTTTTTTTACTTGCCCCTTACATAAAATAACTTTGTATCTTTTTTTATTATTATTGTATTTTTATTATTTAATGTCTTATACAAACTAGAGGAGCAACAAGGCGAGGATGATAGCCAGCAAGCAGCTGAAGCAATGGTGCAGTTGAGTGGAGTCGGATTCTACACTCAACAGCAACAAGGTTTCTATTCATTTTACATACATGAGATCAAACCTCTCTTAAGTTTTTTATATTGCAAATTTAAGATTATATTTTTTATACTATAATTAACAATATTTACATCTGTTTGTATATTTTAAAATTCATATACAAATAATATCTACTATATATGTATATATAAATTTAAGAAATAGGTTGATTTAAATCATAATAGTCTCTTCTTCAAATCTTAGTGGCTAGTTTCATTTATATCTAATGTATAATGGAGAATAATGCTTTTTAATCAAGAGCAAATAATTAAATTCTTAATAGAGAAGTATATCTCGCAGATAAATTAGCAACAACTGGTTCCATTTCAATAGAAACATTCTTACATGTTTCTAATCTCAGCAGAAACACTAAGACGAATTATTGTTCGAATGCTCTCTGAAACATTCAAGGGCAAATGATTATATATATATTGATACGACTAGTTCAATGCAACCTGGTAACCAAAATATTCTTTTAGTCTAAAATATATTGGCTATAGAAACTATTTCGACTCTAATAATCCTATTTGAATCACTAATAATGCAAAACTTAAAAGAGAATCAAGGAATTTTGGTGTCTATGGTTATAAATTCCCTAAAAGTATTTGTCAGGCTGGTATATAGTATATGGTATATGATATCATCAGATCATATATACCAGATTAGACAACTGCAAAGATGATCTCAGCTTTTAAGGCGATGTAAATATGCCATCATTATTATATATATTTACATATATACAGATATGCAGTTAGTATCGATCAAAGTAATCGATACTAACTAACTGGTTCGAAAGAACCTTATAGATGGATAACAAAGTGTTGCATAAATTCATAAAATTATGTACAGAAACTTGTTTCCGCTATTTTTTTTAACGGTCAGAAAGCACTGCGCATCTTTCCGTAGAACGCCCACTTGTCAGACTGCATTAGGTTAGCTTAGGTTATACCGGCGATCTCAACGAAATCCACTTAGGCCTATAGGCCCATTTTCCTACCTTATAATTAAAGACTCAAGAGTTAAAACCATCTAAAACCTTTGACAAAGCTTATAATGCTACTGAAAGGCAGACTCTATTAATACTGTAATAAAATATATTTAAACAACTTATTCAAGTCTACAACAAAAATTCTTAATAAAATAACTAATTTTCTAAAAGGATATATTTTAATTGTTTATCACCTTTTAAAAAAGTTTTTGAGAAATCTTAACAAAAACTATTTCTCAACTGCTGCGAGATTATCAGGAAACAATGCCAATATCCTCATCTTACCCTAAGACTCTGCAAAGTTTTTTATAACTGTTTACTCGTTTAAACTCTATTTATGTTAAAACAAGTCTTTAGAAATAACATAACAGAACTTTTACTTTAGCTTTTTAGATTTCTCTTTCCATTATAATAATGTATTTGCCCCGATTTATCTGAACCCACACTCAATTCGCTGAGTGTTTTATTTTGAACTTTCTAAACAGTATTTAACATTAAAAAGTGAAATTAATGAACGTTTGTCATACCTTCTCACTGATTATAATATACCCAATATTTCCATATCTTTCACGAAATCAAATTGGCTGTTAAGCTATTAGCTATTAAATATTATATCCTATTTATACATATTTATATAACTCAATATATACCTGTAATAATAATACATATAGACACATTTATTATTGTTTTAATTTTTTTATTGATAATCTGTTATTTCTTTTTCATCAACAAATTTAGATGACTCAATGGAACTGGACCCGAACTATGATTTAGGCGATTTTCTCACAATGCGCAATCGTAACAATAATAATTCACAAGATCAAGAATTTTTGGCAATACAAAATGATGAAAATGCCCAAATGAATAGCACAACTAGTTCTAACGAAAATGGAGACAACAGCATGCAACAACCAATAATGCCTTTATTGTTGCCGGGTAACGATAACGTTGGCATTGATGAGGACTTGGCTATATCTGAAAGTGACGAAGAGGATGAAAATGGTAGTGGTATGGCGATTAAAAGAGAACCCGTTCATGAAAACGATAATAACGCCAATGATTCTGCTCAAAACCAGCTACCAACGGATCGAAAAGATGAATTTAAGCACGAGGATAATGACGATGATGGCTGGTTGCGATTTTAAACGTACGAAATATTTAATAATGGATTGGTACTAATAATTGTAGACGTTGATATGTAATTATTTATTTTTATATAATTTTGTATTGGTTATATTTTAAATTTAATTTTATATGGCAAAGTTAAATTCCTCGTATTCCGCTGGTAGAACCCGGGAATGCATAATCCAGTCTCATTTCTGAAAGACTTTAACAGTTCAATAGAAATGATCTGCTATGAAATCCTCACAAAATGTTTGACAAAATACTGCAAAAAACAATATCACATTTAAAAAAAATGTGTTTATCTGGTATAGATACATGCTTATTTGTAGAATAGAAATGAAAATGTTTTTCATGCATTTTCTACGCGTGGCGCTCCATCGCAGGAAAATATAGCAGAATATTTCGGAGATTTTTCTGTTCTTCAATTCCTACTCCGAATATCTGATATACAACGAAACCAGAAAGAATTCTAATAGATTAAACAATCTTAAAAATACTGGTTGACATATTGAGTCGCATAATAGACCTCTCAGGTCGCGGAAATCCGGGTTGCATAATAGACCTTTTCGGGTTGCGGAAGTTCGAGTCGCATAATAGACCTCGCAGGTCGTGGAAATTCGAGTCGCATGATAGACTTTTTCGGGTTGCAGAAATTTGAGACGCATAATAGACTTCTCAAGTCGCGGAAATTCGGGTCGCATGCTAGACCTTTTCGGGTTGCGGAAATTCGAGTCGCATAATAGACCTTTTCGGGTTGCGAAAATTCTAAACGCATAATAGACCTTTTCGGGTTGCGGAAATTCAAGTCGCATAATAGACCTTTTCGGGTTGCGGAAATTCGAGTCGCATAATAAGTCTCTCAGGTCGCGGAAATTAGTGTCGCTTAATAAACGTTTTCGGGTTGCGGAAATTCGAGTCGCATAATAATAGGCCTTTTCGGGTTGCGAAAATTCGAGACACATAATACACCTTTCAGATCGCGAAAATTCGGGTCGCATAATACACTTTTTCAGGTTGTGGAGATTCGATGTCAATTGTCATTTAAAATATTTTTGTATCTTAATGTTTGTAATTTTGTATAAACTATAAAAATGTGTAATAGAACTACAATATATGTATCCCAAATCCAACTACCTTTCCTATTCTTATCCTAATATCTTACTCATATCTTCCTTCATTATTTTGTTGCGTACAACAAAAATACACGTGGAACATTAAAAATAGCTTAACCTTTTCTTGTAACATTAAGTTTTCTGTTATTGGCCTCATTTATTTTATAATTACAATATTTTATTGAAACTAAATAATTGTTTAAGTCAGTAATGTAATTCATATGTTTATTGTAGTTTGGTTCAAATCAAATGGCATTTGCGGAAGATCGTTAAAAATCAGTAAAACAGGATTAAAATGCACGGAACGATCAGAACCTATTCCCACTTGATTTTAACCAAGCGGTAAATGTTATTGTACATGTTAGTTTGTAAGTTTAAATTTAAGAACATAATTAGCAAAGCTTCAAAACAATGTTATCTATCTATCATAATTTACTTATAATAAAATAAACTTCTTTTTTTAATATAATTTGAGTTTATAAATTTATTTACACGCCTAAATACTGAAGCAAGAAGAAAGTTTTATTCGTCAACTCATAATTACAACCTTATAAATACGTTCAATAAAATTCTAAAATCAGTTATAATCACAACGAAAATATTTTATATAATATCTGTTTATTATTCAACATAGTTGCTTTATCTATAAAAAGAAATTTCAAAATTTATATAAAGTAAAATGTTCTATAAATTTTATTATATTATATGTTATCAAAATTTACGAAAATATATTTACAAACAAATGAAATAAGTTATTTCATATGCAGAAGCGTGATACAAAACAAAAAATAAAAAATTGGAAACATTTATTTGATTGTCAAATTAAATTTATTTGAATTTGAATTTTAGAATTTTAGTTTTTGTCTCTCAACTGCACTCAAAGATTTTAATTGTCTACTAATATTCTTCCTTATTTTCTTACCGTCGACAAACTGTGACATTGCAAAAGTACCTTAGAAAATATATCATTTATCTGGTTTCGTTCTTTGCTGTACTGGTTAAAATTTGTAAGATTTCCTCTATTAATGGTGCTTGTATAAGCTACAAATTATTGTGCAGTGCCACCTGTTGTCATATATTCAATAAGTGTAAAAGCTTTTTGGGACAATTTATTCCCAATATTAGTTTTTCAAAAATCTCCTTTAATGAAGTTAGCGCCATCTGCTATAATATGTATACATATACCTATTTAAAGCCGCTGTATCAGCACAGACAATACAATGTGCTGAATACAGTTTGAGTATTACTGTGAAATATTGAAAAAGATGCACAAAACGTGAAAATACCTTCAAAACAGAAACAATATTAAAATTTTTTTTTAAAGAACTTTTTTGTATTGGTAATTTTAAATAATTAAAAAAATTGACTTTTTATTTTGCCTTAAGTTTTGACAAGATAATACTTGCCAAAGTCTAACGAGTATAAATTCAGAGTATGCTTATTTCGATGTTATTCTGAACGGTTAGACATAAGGGCAGCATGACGATAAACGCAAATAGTGATTTTTCGAGTGTATCCCGCACACATATTACTTAATATCTATTAAGCGTAATTTAGCAATAGTAATAAATTAACAAATGGTTAAGATTGTACTATTCATATCCAATAAAATATTTAAAAAAAAAAAAATTATGAGTGTATTAATTAAAAGGTGCTTCACTAGCAATAAAATTGTATATTTAGTGAATTAGGGACATTATTGAATGTTTTTTTAAAAATAATAATGTTAATGATAATCTAAGAAAAATATATGTTGTACATTGAATATATTTAAACGATTAGATGTAATAAAATGGACCATGACATGGTAATCAGCAAAATAGTCTGTCTCTAAAAATTAATTGAAACAATATACAAATTATATTTGCACATATTTTATAACCAAATCACACAATTCGAGGACATAACATAATAATAATCTTATAGTTAATTGTAAATTTTTGTCGTTACTATTCCTTCAGTACAAAGCCTTCATTTTTTAAATTCCATATTATGTATATGAAGAAAATAACACAATGTTAAGTAATTTATTGGAGTTGTGTCAACTCAAAGTACATATTGCATTTATAAAAAAATGTTTGATATTGTTTTTAACAAAATTTTCATAAACATTAGAGCTAATAAAAATAATATTTTAAATTTAAAAATACATACAAAATTTGTTAAATTCACTGCTTTTTACAATAAAATTAATAACTAATTTATTTAAAAAACTAAGCATATAATAGATTTTCACATAAAGCCTTTTAATGAATTTATATTACCGTTGTTGAAAAATAATTGTTTTTAGTGTTCATTCACAATGCGATATGAATCCAAAAATGATTATTAAAAACTATAATTTTATTATTTCTAGTTTTTATTGTTCATTTAATCATCGAATAATCACGAAGCTTTTGAGAAATATATAAAGAAGTCAGTGAAAAGCGTGGGACTCTGCAAAAACACCCCAGCTATTAAAGAGTAAAAGTGCCCAGTTGCAATAATTCGGAAAAGACTCAACATGTATAACATTTATGAATATATTATTTGTAAATGTGTAGTGTAAATATAATAAAATTAAGCATGAACTTTTAATTGTCTTTTAACGAATTTATGCCATCATTGTTTAATAACAATGAATGTTTTTCGTTTTTCTACTCAATGCGATATAAATCTGAAAATATTAAAAATTTATAATATTTTCAGTTTTTATTATTTATATAATTGTTATCTACTACACTTTTTAAATTGTGTGCAAGGTAGTTTAGTAGAAGTGTTTTTAAACAACAATGGCAACTCTACGAAATAGTGATGTAAACAAAAAATGCAAAACACGAGCTGCATTTATATTAAGTCCAAAAAACTGATACTTTATCGTATCACACAATTATTTCGCGTATAATATTGAGGATTTGTTTGTTTAAAAAATGACAATTAACTGGAAAAAGTATATATTATGGTTTGCGCAGGAACATGTTGATTTCCGTATGGGGGTAACGTAAATTTATTATAAACATTAACAAGAGCTTAATTCGCAATCTTATTCACAGGAATTCAAGAGTATAGCAAAACTGTTTGATCTACGTTTCCAGATACTAACCGAAAATACCACAGTAATTATAAAAATTTAGTATTTTGTACAAAGTATAATAAAATGCCTTACGCTTATCTAACAGAATCCATTCTGGGTAGTTGAGTTCCCGAATGATGAGTCAGCTTTAAAATTTGCCTCGCGTTCGATTGCACTGCGTTGTGTTTTGGAACTCTGGTCCCATGGAAATTCATTAACAGATTTTCACAAACAACTACAATCTTACACAAAAGAGAATGACAAAGAAATAAATAATTACTTTAAAAAAGATTGCTCCTTTAAAATAATTGTGGAAACTTACAACAAACACCTTAAACAAGCAGAAAAAATTCAAAAAATAGAATCACTTGATTATTTGCCAATAGAAGGAAATGTGGATTTAAAAACACCACAGGTTGAGTGGTGGTATATAGAATTTTGGGGTCTCGATCCTACCAATGTGCCAGAAAAACCTGATGATGTGTTGTTTGGACGTTTGGTATGATAAATTTTAATTGCGATAAAATACTGATATTAAATTTATGTTTATTAAAATATAGATTTCGAACGGTCAACGACACCTAATTAAAGAACTTTCTTTAAAGAACAGAAAATTTATAGGAAATACAAGTATGGATGCGCAGCTTAGTTTATTAATGGCAAACCAGGCACTGGTAAGAGATGGTGATCTCGTTTTAGACCCATTTGTTGGTACAGGTTCACTGCTAGTGAGTTCCGCAAAATTTGGAGGTTTGGAAACAGTATTTTTTCTGCTTACATAAAAATTAATTAAAATACATTATAAATCAAAAACAGGCTATGTACTTGGAGCTGACATTGATTTTATGATGCTTCACGCACGTAATCGTCCAAGTCGAATAACGCAAAAAAAGCGTGAAAAAGACGAAAGCATTCGTGAGAACCTTAAACAATACGGCTGTGCAGAACGCTACTTAGATGTTGTGGTAGCAGATTTTTCTAATCCACTTTGGAATAAACGAGTAAAATTCGATTGCATCATAACAGATCGTAAGTAATAAAATCATAAACACAATTTCAGAAAAAAACACAAAAATATTTATTATTTCGGTAGCTCCTTATGGCATAAGAGAAGCGACAGAAAAAGTGGAAATGAAGCAATCAAATAAATCAAATGTGCGAACTGCTGATATGCCACATTATCCTTCGACATCACATTATTGTTTGCAACAGCTCTACGCTGATTTACTGTCATTCGCAGCTAACTATTTAAAAATTGGCGGCAGATTAGTGTGTTGGTTGCCATTTCATCGGTAAGTTGTTATTAGAAGAAGTCACAAAACAATAATTATTTCTTGCAATATTCAATTTAGCGAGGATTACACTGAAGAAATTGTGCCACGCCATATAAATCTGAAATTAGTGGGAAACAGTGAGCAATTACTATGCGGACAAACCTCAAGAAGACTTCTTACCTATGAGAAACATTCTGATCCTGAATTACATGATAGCAACACACAAAGTGACGATTTCATTGTAACAGAATTTAGACCTAGGTATTTTGATAACGTTACGGAATCTCGTACGGAACGACGTTTGCGAAAATCGGAGCTGAGAGAACAAGGACGTATTGAAGCAATAAAACGCGGAAAAAATTTACCAGACTCACGAGAATTGAAAATTTCTCTTAATAAAGCCAGATTTAAATAATATAAATAATTTATTTTTTTAATAACGAAAAAAAATTGCACATATAACAGATATATTTAAAAAATAAATCAGATTGATCAATTTAAACGGATAACCTGTTCAAGATGCTTTAGATTGAGCTTCTCTGATTAAATTATTTGCATCAAATTGACCTTCTTCAATGCGACAATTGAAAATATTTGCAAAACTTTTTATGAACTCATTTGATGCTTCGTCTATTGATACGTGGCGCTTAAGTTCAACACTTAGCGACGTAACACCTTTGCCTTCTATACCGCAAGGTATTATGTGTTCAAACCATTCCAAGTCTGTGCTACAATTCAGTCCTATACCATGTGTAGTCACGAAACGCGAACCATGCACACCAATGGCACATATTTTATTATCATTCACCCATATACCAGTGTCTTGTGTTGTAGTTGGATTAAGTACGCCTAATTGTTGGCAAGCGTTGATAACAGTTTCTTCCAAAGTTTTGATATACAAACGCATGGTTAGTTTGAATTGTCTTAGATGTATAATGGGATATGCTACGAGCTGCCCGTGACCATGAAAAGTTATGAGTCCACCACGATTCGTGCGATAAAATTCTGCACCACATTTCCGCAGGCGTATCTCATCTTCTTTTGTGTATTCCTTTGTGCGCAAACCTGTTGTGTACACTGGATTGAATTCTTGTAACAAAATATAATTTCGAAATTTGTCCACTTCCTCCATGCGCTGATTACATAAATATTTTTGTAGGAGTAAACCTGTGCCGTAGCTTATACGCCCGGCTCGTATTACTGTAATTAATGGTTTCATGGCGTTTATTAAGTAAACTCAAAAGTAATTTGAGTATTTAATTGTAGCGTTTCTCCACGAATTTAAACCAAATTCTTTTTTTAATGCATAATTTTTTATACAAGAAAATTTTGTGCAGATTGCACACTTTGGAGGCACTACATTGTCCACCAATTCCTATTCAATAGCAATAAATACGAAATATAGCGTTTCATAGTTGAATAGATTTTCCTTTTGTATGCAATTGTAAAATTAGACCTTTGAATGAAATTAAATTATATTTTATTTTAATTCAACAATAATATTCTTTTTGTACCTTTACACAAATTATTTGAATAATTATACATATGGAAACCTCTTTATTTCAGTGTTGCCAATTCGTAATTCAATAACGTCAATTATTTATTATGTGCAATGAAAAAATTATTTTAATTGTATGAGAAATTAAAGTTAAAAATATTAATTCTAAAATGTTTATTAATTAAATATGAAATAAATCAGAAATGTTACAATTTAGTCGCTTTTTAATACGCTTATGTAGTAAAATCAAAGCAGTCATATATATAATACAATTCACATATTTCAATTTCTTAGAAATACTGAAAAAATCAACGATATGCAGGCATTTGTATGCAATTTGGCTACGCTCCAATAAAAGTAATGAAACTCTCTCATTGAGTAGCTTAATAGAGTTATCAGCCTTGTAGTAGATTTACTTACAGCGGCTCGTTTATGTAACTTTCTCACTTAGTTTTCTCTGTCTAAAGTGAGAAAAATCGTTCGAGAAAAAGAAGTGAAAAAGTTACATAAACAAGCCACAGGTGTCGTCCTGCACATGTGCGGCTTTATTTTTTGAAGATCTTGAAGAACTGCAAGACCTTCCTCTAAAGAGCATTATTAGCTTTGCCAAAGCTTCTAAGTGGTTCTAACTCTTCGGTTTTTAATAATGCGGTAGCACAATGGGCCTATAGGCCTAAGTGGATCCTTTGGGATCGCCAATATAACCTAACCTACTAAGAATAATAGAAATTTAGAAATTTAAAATTTAATCTATATCAAATAAAAATATTTTTGCTAATAATATAAATTTTAAGTTTAGTAACTCGTTTTCCGTTAAAAAAAAACTGACAGATGTAGTATATATCACAACAACAATGTCAAGTGTGCAATGCTGCATACGAAAACAAAGAAACATATTGTTTTAATAAATTTTTCTCACTCTAATTATTAACGAACATTATAATTATTTCTTTTCTTATTATAAATACATGAATGAAGAAATAAATAAATAAATGTTATTAGAAGTACGCTACATTTTATTACAACTCTGGAAAAATTATGTCATTCCGTATAAGTGATTTTGACATTCTGCATACTTTGCCGTAGTGGCGTTTTTAGAATAAGGAAAAATTTTCATTAATGTATAAATTGTATGAAAATACAATCAAAATAAAAGTAATTATAACTTCGAATATAATTTATGTTTAAGTTGTTATTATCATATGATAAAGTTAATCACAATAAAATAATACTTTAATAATATTTTCAAAACTATTGAAGTGATCTCGTGCTAAATGATAAAAACTTGACCCGTGAAAAAAAACTTGCTTACTTTACGTTTACCTTGCTATGTCTTCTAATGATGGCAACAATCAACGAGATGATAGTTTTAGTACTTTTTCTTCTAACCCAGCTGAGTTCCTACAAGTTTTATCGCAACCAGTTGCAAACAACAATGGCAATATTTCCATGCCACCAACACTTATGTGGCAAAATCAATTAGTAGGACCACAATATATACAGCCAACATTGCCGCCACAACAACCACAGCCACAACTATACAATGATTACATGTTTAACATGCACACACAGAACGCGTATGCATCACCAGCTGCAACACCCGAAACATACTCAGTGCTACCTGTAGGACATGGAAATTTTTTAAAAGTTTATCATTGCACAGATAATGGAGTAAATGGTGGTTTAGTGAATGATGGTAATGTCTATCAGCATGCGGTGCACCAAGCACAGGCATATCATTTACAATCACCTCAGTCACCACCAGCTTCCACCACACAGGTTTTTAACAGCTATGAGCTGTTTTCAAGTAACACTGTTATGCCTGTACATGATAATCAATCCATAAATCTTAATGCAGAAGTCAATATACATCCTCAATCTTATCCTCAGCAAATGCAGCAGTCACCACCTTCACTTCTTATGATGAATAATACCAGCATTCATGATGAACAAACCGCAAACACAAATTGTACGACAAATATGATTATCAATAAACTTGTTAATAACTGGTCACCAAATTTGACTGGAGGCACTTACAGTCAATTTGGTACACCTTTATCACAGCTTTCGACACAGTCACCCCTAAATAATAATGATTCCTTGCAACAATCAAATGTTATGTTAGATGCAAACATCTGTCATGGTAATAGTCCACATGCTAACACACAAGTATTTGGTGTCATTGACGACTGTAATGCTGCCACAATGCCAATTTCATTATTACACCAGAATCCAGAGCAGATACAACCAACTCCAGTATTGTCCTCTACACAAACCTTCATAGATAAACATACATTATCTAAGCAAAACTACAATGAAAGAATAAATATAGTTAATGCTAATCTACATATTCCTCCCATACCGTCTGTTAATATCCAAACCGAAGTTAAAAAACGTATTGTGGCTGAAGTTAAGCCGATGCCTTTAACCTATTCTGATGTGCTTAGCAAAGGCAATTCATCAAAGATTTTTCATCACAGCAACCAACATTTACACAAATCTGGTAGATCCTCAGGCGTAGCAAATAACCGTAAATCCGAAAATAAAAATTCACTCGATTCTAATAACGTTCAACATAAACGCCACGGTTATATTGAAGATGCTTTATTGCAAAATAAAACAAGAAGACCAGCCGTTTATGATAATAAAGAAAATTTACAACAGCAAAATTCTAACAGCAAAATATCAAAGAGATTAAATAAAAGCAGAATCAAAACAATTACTAACGATATTAATGTACAACAAAAACAAAATATGCAGAAACCAACTCAAAAACCGGTAGCTACCACAGCAGATATAAATAAAAAACGTGCTAATAGCAAACAAATGAATACGGACGATGCAACTGATCTTGGCAAAAATCGGAAAACAAGTGGTATTACAGAGAAGGACATTAATTCTTATTATAATGTCTCACCTAAGGATGATGATTATTTTGAACATAAAAAGAAAACTAATTCCATTTCCTCTGCTTCATCGACTGCATCAACTTCTTCAGCTTCTTCGTCCTCAGTTTCCTCTAATATATCTCACAATTCGACTGCAAAAAATTCTACCCGTAAAACAAATAAAACTTCAAATTATTACTCGAATTCCCATACATACAATTCTTCAGGCGGTAATAATCATAAAGCACGCTATAATCACTCAACTTCCTATTCATACTCTTCTAAGCGGAATCGTGGTGCCAATTATTCTTCTTCACATGGTTCTTTGAATAACGGTCCAAATCGTAACTATGAATTGGCTAAAAAGTTGTTGACAACGTGGCTTGAATATATGATAAAAATTCTAAATTGGTTATTTTATTTAGTTTATGATATTATTGTACTTGGATTTAGTATGTTTTATGATAGAATGTTAACGGCCTACGACTCTTCCTTGATATTTTTAAAACAATTACGAAAGGATTTAAAACAAAATTCGGATAAACCCAGTATATGGATTAAAAATTATTGGCGAAAATTTGATGGGCGCTTTGAAAAGAACTCCAATTGGGCTTTTTGGAGAAAGTTTTATAAAAAGAAACCACCAGATGTTCCAACGGAATCTTTTAAAAGCGGACGACTTCCACAAACCGGCGAAGAGGCAATGTATTCATTACTAAATTGTAAAGGAAAAGATGCTTACAGGTAGTTGTCTCTGATAGTTTTTTAAAAAGTTTCAGATTTAATGTCTTAAATATAGTATTTTAGGTGTGCCAGCAAATAGTTCACCGGAACAAATACGTAAACATTACAAAAAAATAGCAGTGTTAGTACATCCCGATAAAAATAAACAAGCTGGAGCAGAAGAAGCATTTAAAGTTTTACAACGAGCTTTTGAGTTGATTGGCGAACCGGTAATACATATTTTTATTTCATTTAAGTGAATTTTATGCTTGATACTATTGTTTAGTTAAATGGTACATTACAATTTGTTTTATTTTGGTAGGAAAATCGTTTGGCCTATGATCAGAGTTTAGTTGAAGCACTACATGCTGAAAAGGCTTGGACAGAGCTACATGATCTGTTATCGCAATTACAAACCAAAATTACTGAAGCTGCCAATACAATAAGGTAATTATATTTCATTATACAAAATGATATAATAACTTACTTGCTGTTTTTTAATTATTATTTTTTAACAAATACATTTAGTGTTATATTGGCAAATTTCATATAAAATCAAACTAGAAAAATTTAACGAAAATTTTTAATATTAAATTAAATACATACTCTTAGAAAATGGCTTACATTATGAGCAACAATACACAATTATTGATATGGTGCTACCTATATTCATATATATATAATAATACGTATTTGCTTATACCATTACTATACATTTTAGATGAATATTACACTATATTTATTATTAGTCTCAATTATATGTAAAATGTTGTAAGCAGGCTTTATTAATTGATAAAAATACTGTATAATTATTTAATAAAAAATAAATATTTTTTTAGGTGTAGCACTTGTGGACTGCGGCATCCACGTAAACAAATTGATCGGCCACATTATGCTGCACGAGATTGTGCTTCTTGTAAAATTCGTCATTCAGCAAGAGAGGTGTGTATAATTTGTTTTTTTATATACTATGATTTTGTCACAGTCCAGTAATTATTATCTAATCATTTTTTACAATATTTTAAGGGTGATATATGGGCAGAAACGAGTTTCATGGGTTTGCGTTGGAAATATTTGGCTTTAATGGAGGGTAAAGTGTATGATATTACTGAATGGGCAAATTGTCAAAAAGGTGCACTTTCTCATTTGGAACCAAACTCGCATATGGTGCAATATCGTATAGTACGAGGTGCACAGCAACAGCAGCAACAACAACAAACACAACAGCAACGTCAACAGCAGTCACCGCAAAACTCACAAAAATATAACAGCTATGGCGCTGGGGGCAGTGGTAAATTCAATCGGGATATTCCTCAAAGGTAATAAAGTAATACATATTTTGCTAAAAAAAATGCTTTATTGAAACAATAGTTTCTATTAAGAAAATAGTTTCTTTCGCCTTAATTGAATTTAAAATTGTATGTAATATATATATATATGTTTTATATAACAGCGATACATCGTTGCACGATTTTCTTGACAATTTGTATAGTGGGCAAAATCCTAACCAGCCGAATTCTTCCGCGTATGCGAGTTCATCTAGAAAACGTTCTCGGCGTAACTAATAATTATTTAATAATATAGATTTAAGTGTTTTTAAAATCTCTAACGATTTTGTTTTTAGTTTTAAGCATTATACTCTAATACAAATATATAAACATTCAAAATGAGAACACTATATCATTGGAATTCTAATCCTATATATTTCAGAATTTATAGAATTATTTATATTGTGAAATATATTTTTTGTAAACTTCTATTGAATTTAATATTACAACCAAAATCGAATAACAGTTTTTATAAAAAACTACCTGTTATATGTTCTCTGAATATTTACTATAAAATCTTTGCAAACAAATGCAACATTATACAAAAATTTAATACTTTTTACACTTTATATTATTATATATAATATAATCATTACCATATGTAAGTGCAACTTCTATAAAAAGAAGCAAAAATTAAAAAAAAAAATAATGTAAACTAATACAATAATTAAATAGAGTATTTATTTGATTAAATATTCTTCTAAAACTTAAATTATGTAAAACAAATTATTTGATGTAACAAATAAATAAAAACTATAAAATTAAAATTTTTCTGATTTGAATATAATTTTTTAAAATTTCGGGTTCAATAAATGCTGCTAACAAAATTTACAGATTTTCTCATCATATTGAGAATGAAAATATTGTGCGTTTTGGGTACAATTGTTCTCTAAGTATAATATTTTACTTTGCAACAGAATCATTCAATTAATAGAGCATATGGATTTATAGGTTATTCCAATATAATATTTAATTTGATCCAAAGTAAAAACGATGAAATATATAATTAGCCTTTCGAGTTGGAAACGTTTTAAACATACACCTTATAATATATACAGGTCATCATAATCTGTAATTAATAAATAGTAACCTATTGGTTATATATAATTATTCCTATGTTTCCATTTACTATCACTACTGCATGGCTCTTAAATAAAATAACCTAATGGATATACATAGTTATTCCTATGTTTCATCATGTTACCATTATTACTGCATGGCTTTTAAACAAAACAACCTAATGGATACACATAGTTATTCCCATGTTTCATCATGTTGCCATCAATACTGCATGCATAGCTTTTAAACAAATTAGCCTAGTAGCCTATACACATAGTATTTTATGTTGCATCATGTTGCCATCAATACGGCATGGCTTTTAAACAATTTAACTTAGTCGATGCACATACATTATTCCCATATTTCCAGAGCTTTTAAACGAAAGAAATATCCATAACAGAACAACAAATATATCCGGTCTAAAATATTTTTATTATTAAAGTTACTTACTATAACTTATTGAATTTATTTTGTTCATATACACATATTTAGCATATTTTTGTTTTCATTTATTTATATTAAAATACAAAGTTATAACATATACATTTATATAACAATATATTGAAACAACATTTAAAACATAGAAATTTTATTTATTTTTTAAATATTTAATACAAATGTCTATACTTTCATGTACGTATATACTTTAGGTGTTAGTAAGAAATGATGGCTTTGTATATGAAATAGTTGTTATCCTAATAATAGTTTTTTGTGGGCATAAATTTATTTTATTGTATAATATATACACATTTTTTTACATATTATTTTTATTTTTACATGCATTTAAATTTATCAATACATTTTAAAGACTAAGACTTTAGTTAGTAAACGTAACTCTTAATGGAACAAAAAATTATATCTATATGTCTATTAATATATTGGTGATATATTTACATAAAAGCTTAAATTGTGTAACCATGTACAAAAAATTAGTCCTATCTTTCTCACAATAAATATATTAAGAAAATATAATATTTATTTATTGGTTCTTTACTATTCTTTTAATTGGTTGATAAGTTTTAATATCTTAAAGTATAAAAAATAATTTTATATAAAATAATTACAATTTTCAAGTGTTTTCAGTATTAAAATTTTTAACAAAATATTTAATATTTAAATTTCTAATATTAAAAATTTACTTTAAGTGGGACATTTTAATTTAAATTGGATATTAGTTAATTTGATTTAGTGTTTAGGACTAAGAGGGTTTCTTTCTGCATTTATATTGTGTATAAATGTAATAGATATATACTATGTATATATCTATACTATATTAATAAGGTGTATTAATAGCACAATATACTATGTCACTACTATCATTGGTGTTCAAATGAATTTAAACAAATTCGGTTAAAAAGACTATCTTGTGAAAACTATGCGTTGGAGAAAAAATATTTGTTGTTAATTAAATAAGGTTAATAATATTTTAACTCTTCGAAAAAGTTAAGTAAAATTAATTTAAGTTTTACAATTATACCAGTGTATATGGAGTTAAAACCAAAATATTTGCAGTTTTCTATTAATTTTTCTTTATGAGCTCTTCAAAATTTTTTTTTAAATGTTAATAGTTATTTATATTCAAGACCAACTCAGTATAATAATAACATGTTTGCGATTGGCTGTACATATAAATTAGTTTGAAAGTCAATTTAAGCTTTAATGTAAATATTTGTTTTTTAGAATATAATATAATAGTTATTATATTACTTTTACACTTTATACTAGTGTCTACATATAAATTATACACACATGTAAAGTTTTTCCAGGAAAAACGTAGTACGGGCATATTATTCAATAGATATTCCGTATATGCCAAAGAAATTATTTACTACTAACTGTAAATATTACATAAATAACAATTTACACATATACATAAAATTCATAAAAATATTTTTTATGCTGTTAATATATAAATAAATTGTTTTTTACTAGTTTTACATATTTAATTAAAAAAAGATTTTTTTATTTGTCGGTTTTTTTTTGAACTATATACCATTAGTTAATTGTATATTACCACTAGTTAATTATATAATATTTTTCTATATTTTTAATTTTATTTTGTCTTATCTATCGTCTGACTAGTAGTTATTCATTTTATAGATATAACAAAATCATAATATATTACTTAATAAAATATATTATAATAATAAAATTACCTGAAAAATTTTAAACTGCAACATCGACATTTGCAAAAACATTTATTTTTTAATTTTTTGTTATTATTTAAAATTATATTGTATTATATACAATTAATATTTAATAACATAAAGTTAAAGAAAATATATTATTTTAGTTAACTATCTTTTAGTTTACTTATTTTATATTAAAACTATATTAGTTTAATATTAACATTAGAAATTAAGTTTAAATTAAAAATACAAGTAACACAATTAGCAAAATCAAACTTAAAATTATATTAAAAATGCTATATAAAAAATCATATTTTATAGAATTTAGATATTTTCCTAATACATTTAATAAAACTATTTTATTATGCATAATTAGAACTAAGAAACTTCACAAATTGATGTTAACAAATATATGTTTTTTATATGAAAATCAAAAAACACTTAAGCAATAATGAAAGCACATAAAAAGAGCTAATGTACATTTTATGTTTAGCTCTATATCTTTAAACCTATAGGCGTGGCACAGCTTTGCATTTGCTTGCAAATTTTCAATGCTGAAAACCGTTTTGTTGTATTGTTGTAATACCTAGAACCATTTTATGATTATTGATTATTCACAGAAGTCTGAGGTAGTTGTTCTTCTAAGTGCTTTGCGTGTTACACACTCAGTAATGCTTGCCTTGCACATTTCACCAGCCATTGGTTAGAGCCTCCACTTTGGTTTTTGACGTGGTGCCATTGACGGCGACTTGTTGTTGCTTGCCTGCAGCGACGGCTGCGGCAGTAGCTGCAGCAAGTAGTGATGTTGGTGGCATAAAATTTACATTTATGTTAATGGGATGTACAACTGGCATTGAGCTGTAGTTCTTTTCAAGCAGATCAATACCATTCAGAAAGGGCACAAGTACGTTATAGTCAACATTAAGTGGTACATAGTATGTGCCCTGACCGTGCATGGCAAATATGGGCACAGCAAATGAACGCGCATGCGTTGGTGGTAGTAATGCCGTTGTGCTGCTAGGCGTGCCCAGATGTGCTTTGGTCTGCAGTAAGCTATGGCCCACGGCACTATTAGAATTACTCAACTCTGTTTTAATCTCGCTAAAATTAAATGGTTTCTCATCACAGCCCAAGAAATTAGTTGTTGTTGTAGGCGTACGTGTAGACGGTAAGGATCGCTCTTCGCTGTCGTCCATTGCGCTGTTAACAGCTGCACTTCCACTTACTGCAGCTGCATCGGCAGCCTCGGCTAGTTTGCGCTTTTTTGCAATTATTGGTGCGATTTCTGGTTCTGTACCGTCTTTTGAATGTTCAGACATGGAGTGTGTGTGCGAATGTTCACTTTGCAGCAGAGGTGGTACAGCGCAATGTTCGCTGGATGTTTCCTCATCGTGCAATTCATGATTGAAACGTTCTTTTATATGATTTTTGTACTTATAATTGTTGTTATGTTCGATATCATGTGATGATTCAGAGAAATTACGCATGCGGATCGATAGTAAACTGTCGGATGTGTGGTGACTTATATGTGGATGATGTTGATGCAGTATAGAATCACGTGGTGGTGGCGAATGCATATTAGATGTATCAGTATGTAACATTGGCTCACGCGATGATTCAAAATCATGATTACTGGAATCTGTGTGATGTAATATAGATGCTGGTGCTGTTGAAGTTATAACCGCGGCTTGATGTGGCTGCTGCGATTGTGTTGGATGGCAATTAGTGTTGCTGCTGTTATTTAAAGTTGTTGAACTGGCAGCATTATTATTGGATGTTACAGCAGACGAAGAAGTTGAATTGGTAGCTGCATGACTGTTGCTACTGTTACTGCTGTGTAAATTGTCAGCGGTACCATTAGGATTACCACGCTGCAATTGATTTAAGTGGTTTCGAAAACTTAAATCCTTCACCTTAAATTCATCGTGATCGTTACTATGCTCGATGTCAGATGTACCCAGCATGTCACGCAGTTGACAAATTGGTGGTGCAGCGTGAAATGGTTGGTGCGGACTGCCGCTTGATGCGCTCACATTATCTGGCAAATGACACCCACGTGATTTGTTGCAATCATCTGCATAAGAAAAAAATGTGTAAATAAATTTATTGAAAGTTTTTCTATTATTTTTTTTTAAAAAAAAACCTACTTTTTATCAACTCATCGCAATGTTCTTGCAGTCTTGCAAGTAAACGATAACAATAATCCTGCATTTGGCTTTCGTATAGAAATTTGGCAGCTTCCTTCATGCAGTCCGTGTAGCCCAAATGGTACTCATTGTTCTTCTGCATACACTCGTTTTGTAAATGCTTTAGATGCCTAATGGCCATTTCAATAATTTCCGTTTTCTCTATACGACCACGCCCTTTTCTTTGGTAGTGTGGGGGAATGAGACGTGATAGGTCAGCTAAACAAGAATTCATTCGATCTCGTCGTCTTTTCTCAATAATGCGGTGTGACAAAGGATCTTGCTATAAAATTTTGAAATATGTTTGAAAAGAGAATTTATTAATTTTATTTACTATTATTGTTTTTAAATTTTAAATTTTATTAAATTTTTTGTTTTAAATAATTTAAAAGAAATAATACACGTGTTTCAATTTTTATTTATATAATTTTTAATTAAATTAAAATTTTAAATATTTAATGTGTATGTAAATAATTTTCATTGGAGTAAATATTTTAATTATAAATATGGTGCGATTCAAATAAGCATGTGTTTAACTTTAATTGTGGATTGCGGAGGGTCAAAAGCGGTCGTGTACACAGTGCGTCTTTGTGCGATGATGCAGAACATTGTTTGCGCGGCCGCTGCTGATCCATGTGATCCTGTAGTATTCGTGCAGTATGTTTAATTTTAGTTATTTTTTTTTATAAAAATAAAATAATTGAAATTAATAATAAAAATGCTGCCTAATTGTGTTAATGATTTTATTGTTTTATTGTTTCATTTTTATTATTTTTTTTTACCAATTAAAATTTAATTTCTTTTTGTCTGGTTTAAAAATACGAGTATATATAAAATATTTACCCTAGAAGTTTTATTACGTCTTCCGGTAGCATATTCTGCATCATCCTCGCTGTATGTTGTAGCTGATGTGGAAAAATTTAAACTAGATTCTGTGCAATAAGGAAAACTGGATACTGTTGCTTCACTATTATTGTTAACGCATGAAAGAGGAGGAAAAATAAAAGTAAGTTCACAGATAAGTAAAATTTTCTTTTTTCAAAATTCTTTATTTTAAAATATAATAAACAGCTTAAATTTAAAATTTTTGATAAATCTTAAAATTAGAATTTCTTATATAAATTAAAAGTTCTCTAATGTTAAATATAGGTAGTTTTTGTTTATTCGTTTTATTCATTTTATTCATTGATAAAAAGCATACAAATTAATATGATATAAAAAGCTGGCTTATATATAATATATTTAGTATTAGAAAATATCACAGCAACACTTGGCTCATCAGAGGAACATATAACCATTGAATTGTCGACCAAACGTTGAGTTAAGTAAATTTTGAAAATCACCAGAGCACCAAGTCAGTGTTTTGGCTTCCAATTTTAAATAAGTTACAAATCAAGCAATCAATCAGTCAATCAGATTACATAGTATAAGTCCACGGGAACTGTGCGGAAATAGTAATTTTTATTTAAAATTTTTTAATTATATATAAAATATTTTTAACGTATTATATGCTAACCTTATATATTAGCAAAACGATAACAAATTAATATGTCATAGAGATATGATAACATCACTGTATAAAGTGATAAGCAGTTAGTATCTGCAAGTATTCATGTAATTCCTACATACTTTGAACTTTACGATATGAATTTCTTGATATCACCTTGATTGAGATATGTCAACATATGTCCTTATGTACTCGTATAAAGACAATTAGATTATTATTTAAATTGTTGCTCATAGTTTGAAAGTTGCTTTGTTTATAATAAGAAAGGTTTATCATATATGAAAAGTATGTGTTGAATATTTTAAATAGATATCCACTATTCTTTTTACATTTACAACAATATAAAAGAGAAGAAGAAGAAAAAATTATATATACTATATGTTATCTCTTTAAATAAATTATTTGAGGCTATGTTATTAAGTTAGTAAAAAAAATTTTATTGGAAAATGTGAAGCTATTATAGCATATGGTTTCTTTGATAACAGTAAATATGTGGTAGGAACACTATAGAGAATTATTAATTATTTGTTAATGAACCAAGTCATGATCAGATAGTTTATTTTTTTCTTATTGACTCATTTTCATTTTCTCATTTCGAAGACTAAAAATTAAAAAATATATATAGAGAATTAACAAATTTTTAGGGAAATTAATAAAAGTGAAAATTTTTCATTTTAGCAAGACAGCAATTTAATAATCATGTGTTTCTCAATATTGTCCGTCTACATTATTCCAATTTTTTAAAAATTGAAGTTCTCCGATTATTCCATTAATCGGAATTCAACGAAGTCTCCGGGGGTGAAAACAAAATCGGATTTTTTGTAAATCCGAAGTCTACGAATATCCGGATTTGCGGTTATTAATCGCAGTAAAATTATTCGGAGACTTTATGAGCACAAGTTAAAGGGAGAACACAAAATATAAACGAACGTGCATCGCACAAATAAACACAAACTTTTTTAGGATTGATAGAATTTGCTTTGTCTGCATAACGACAGCACTAATATATGTTCTCTAAAACCTAGAAATAAGTTCGATTATTAGGTATTTTAATAAACAAAGGTTTTAGATGACAAAAATATCATTAATCATTGCAATAAACC